CACACACACACACACACACACACACACACACACACAAAAAAAAAAACCGGGGGGTGTGGGATGGGGAAGAAGATATAACAACTATACTTTTTTTGTAGTTGTTACAACAAACAAACGGAGGGGACATTCTTGGGGGGGAGGGGAGAGAGGGAGGAGGGCGGGAAGTGTCGGTGGTGGGCCATAATAATCATATACATTGTATATTGACAAAAAAAAAATAAAAAAATAAAAAAAAAAAAAGAATGTGGTGCTATTAACACCAAGGTCTGGAGTTTGATCCCTGTATTGGCCAGCTGCCAAAGAAAAGAAAAGAAAAGAAATGTGAAGACGCTGGAAGACACTGGATTCTCATATCTACCTCTACATTCAATCTGTTATGATTTGTTGCTTTGGTTGAAATATATGAAGATAATCCTTTCTCATACAGATGTGTAGTTGGAAAAGGGAAGAGTATTTTATTAATCTTTTCAGATAATTGTAGATATTTTTCTTTGATGTTACACCAAAACTCAACAAGTGGAGGGTTAATTATAATGTGGAATCTGAAATCATAACATTGAACTTTTTGTTATATTAAAATCCAGTGGTTCTATCTTGAAATTGTAATAGATCTTTTACCTTGCAAGATTTTGTAACATTATGCATTGGGCATTTAAAAACTATTAGTTTACTGAGTCATACAAGTCTTCTAAATGTTGACACATTCCTTCATAGATGCTTTTAAAAATCACATTAGTTAATATCAGCACTTATTTCATCAGAAAAGTCTTTGATTATTGGGAGGCCAGACTCACAGAGGCAAATACAAATTTTCCAAAATTCCAGTTTTGCTTGAAAGATCGTATTTTATGATTGGCAACAAATACTGTTGTTTTCCTAGAAGTGACAAACTTGCCTTGCTCATTTTTGAGGAAATATCTGCCACGTAGTCAAATTTGTATAACCATATTCAAATTTGAATAACCATATTTCAGTCATTCTTTCAAGTAAAAATGGTGTTCTGTGAAAAAGTGGCCAGTTCACCTTGCCACTTGATCACACAAGTACTTTCCTCAAGACAGCCACAAACTTGAGTATAGCAAAAATGTTTTATGCATTCTTCCCATTTTATCACATAGAGTATTAAAGAGATGTATTCAAGGCTCGAGATTTAGTAAAATTAATAATTTTTAATGTTTCACCAAGGACATTAAATAAAACTGGCTTTTTTTTCTTTTTTTAACTGCCAATGTATAGCTGTGCATAGTAGTGCAATGTGTTGCACTCAATTTGTCTTTTTTCATGCTAAGATGCCAGTAATCTTATCCACTATTGCTTTTGCACTATTAATTGTAAATGTCAACATAGTGAAAAAGACAAATAATATTTTGGCATTATTATGAAAATAGTTTTGATCTCACAGAATTCCTGAAAGTGTCATGGGGCCTCTGCCCCTCTCCATCTCTAGGTCTGTATACCACACTTTTATATAGCTTTCCAGCAGTTTGACCAGCACTTGGCTTTTAAAAGTCCAAGAAAACATGTTACATGTTTTTCTAAGGAAATATTATTTATACCCAGATTTGTTTGTAAAAAGATTTGAGGCAAGGAAAAATAAATTGCATAACCAAGTTAACAAATCTGCTAATTAACAGAATTTCTGCTTTTCTTTCTCTTAAAACTTGCTGTTACTAATTTTAATCATTTGGGGTGATTTTTACAACAGTGATTAGTTCTGTAATTGGTAGGTATTGGAATGTATCTTTGGGCAATCTAAAGTGTACAAGCTTTAATGGGAGTAGTGCTAAGGAACCTGCATTAGATTCCCGTTTTTGGCAAAGTATAAGTGGATGTTTATGCTCTGAATGGTTAATAAGAATTTTTACTTACAGGTGCCAGGGAATATCATGTCCAATTTTTTAGCAACCAGCCAGAGAGGGCATGGGTTCATGAAAAGCGGGTACGCGAATATAAAGGTCATAAACAGTATGAGGAATTACTGGCTGAGGCAACCAAACAAGCCAGCAATCATTCTGAGAAACAAAAGGTAACTAACAACACATTCATTTTATTTATATAATATGATTTTAAAAACTTGATAATTTTAAAAGTTTGATAATTTAGAAGAATTTTTTATACTTGAATTCAGAAAATTGTTAGAATGATTTATTTTAACTCCTTTTAGCTTGGTATTAATTATTATGGTAAGTGATCAGTAAGTTTAAGTGCATTAGTAAGTTTTATATGTCACATAAACAACATTAGAATACTATTAAAAACTTTTTAACTACCTGCTAATAAAATGTTGGATTCTATTATGAATTGAATTAATTAATGTACATAAGTCTACTAGATGCTAGTGAAATACAGATTTTGTCAGGGATTTTTATTCTTTTCCCTATTTCAGCATCTTTTCAAAATTCCTCTTCATTCTTATTTAGCAAAATTGTTTTAAGAAAGTAAAGTTTAAAAATATTTAGTGAGCACCTATTGTGAGACAATTATCATTTTAAGCATTTTATATATAGTAATTCATTTAGTCTCTATAACAACCTATATGAGGTAGATGCTATTGCTTTTTCTACAGCTGAGGAAACTGAGGCACAGAAAGATTAAGTAACTGATTCAATCAATATCACACAACAAATGGAATCAGAAAATACGTTTGATGTGGTGGTGGGTATTTCAGAATTTTGACACGAATGCTTGATAATCTGGTTGGGATTTTAAACTCAACTAGTTTAGAAGAGTAAGAGTAAGACTCTTCTCATTCAGAAATTTGTCATTTTTATACTTCAAAAGCTAAATTTTATCACTGAGGGTTTTGATTAATTTTACCCGACTTACATTTTATAGATTTATACGGCAGTATTTGACATATACTATACCATCTCATAGTTTCATAACTAATTTTTGGCCACTTGGATAATTCCTAACTGCTTTGGTCATCTCATGCACCTTGATTCAGCTACTTTGGTTGTCTTTCATACCTGTACCCCAAGTTTTCTTACCTCTCTTGCCAACCCAAAGTCTTGTGTTCGGTTCGGGACTTAGAGACCTATGGGAAGTGTGGTTTAGGTTTATTTTTTCCCGCATACATGCCTGCTTTCCTTTGCCTTGTGTCAGCTTTCATTTGTTCCTTGGCGCTCCCTCCTTTCACTTCATTCTGTCCGTGTTTGCGTTATGGTACAAACTAGCAGCACAGCTTCAATTGTTGGCTCTACCAGTTACCTCAGCGTGCTCTCTGTAGCACCTGTGATCTACCCCCTTCCCCTGGATATGAGGGAGTAACGGGAGCTTTGGGGTGTCATTTTTAATGGTAGTGTTTTATCGGCCACTGAAAGTAGTCATTTCTGTAATCCTCCTTCTCTTTTCCCTCATTATAGCTAGCTTTTTATGAATATAATGTGAGAAGGATGACTCCCTCTTTGGGGGACTTGTCCAGCAGAGAGGTCAACAAGGATGGATATATAAAAGAAAATAGACCTTCATGTCATCTAATAAACTAATACTAATTTGTCAAGGTCATGGAGTTAGAACATTCTGCTTATTTGACTGAAGAACCTGAAGATATCTGTGTATTCCTGAAAAGATCACATGGGTAACACATATGGTTTTAATGTATCTATTAAAGTGTATCCGATAATGCCTGTATCTTTTTTAAAGATTAGGAAACCCCGACCTCAGAGAGAGCGTGCTCAGTGGGATATTGGCATTGCCCATGCAGAGAAAGCATTGAAAATGACTCGAGAAGAAAGAATAGAACAGTATACTTTTATCTATATTGATAAACAGCCTGAAGAGGCTTTATCCCAGACTAAAAAGAATGTCGCCTCCAAAGCCGAAGTTAAAAAAACCCGAAGACCAAGATCTGTGCTGAATACGCAGCCAGAACAGACCAATGCAGGGGAGGTGGCCTCATCGCTATCAAGTACTGAAATTCGGAGGCAGAGCCAGAGGCGGCACACAAGTGTGGAAGAGGAAGAACCACCTCCTGTTAAAATAGCCTGGAAAACTGCAGCAGCAAGAAAATCCTTACCAGCCTCCATTACGATGCACAAAGGGAGCCTGGATTTGCAGAAGTGTAACATGTCTCCAGTTGTGAAAATTGAACAAGTGTTTGCTCTTCAGAATGCTACAGGAGATGGGAAATTTATCGATCAATTTGTTTATTCAACAAAGGTAACTCCATTTTTAATGGTTTTTTCAGGGGACGGTATGTAAAGAATAGTCAACCTTGGCATTTAAAAAACACAATGGCATAATTTAAATACCCTTTGTATCCATTGCATTTGAAATGTACAGTCGATTTACTCAAAAAAGATGTAGGCACAAAGGCTGTGTTTTTCTTTTTTTTTTTCCTCTTTTGTAATATTCCCATCTGTAATAGATTAATCTTGAGCTATGCAGCCAATATTGAGCTGTAGAAAAAAGTCATAGAAAAAAAACTGGGTACTTTGTCTGTTTCTAGTTTGTATAGTTAGTTTTTCTTAGTTGCAAAGCACGCTTCTTATTAAAATCATCTTTGCCAGTTATCTGAATTAACCATTATTATAAAAGCCACTCTAATAATTGTACCTGCTAACCTGTGTGGATGCACCAGCAATTTTGTTAGACTCCTGTTGGTTTCGGATGTCTAACTGAATTTTAGAGAAATCCCAGAACTATACTTATTCTGTATTAACTGTGGTGATAGCTTGGGTAATGAGGTGGAAACAGCCTCTACAAACTGAATGTCTCCATAAGTTTGCGCTGGGCCTCCATTTAGGGCACTTATGCTTTAGCTTTAAGACTTAAAAACTCTTTTATAACATTGGTAATATTTATTCCATATACCTCTTCAGCCTCCCAAAATCATGATTTTGATTTAGTTGCATCTCACGCATGTGTACATAAAGAATTATGTGCTTATTTTTTTCTTAACGTAGTCATATGCACATTAAAATAAATATTAAATAATATAGGATATATAAATTATTTAAATAATATAATATAATAATTATATTTTCTTGTAGAGAAATGTTGAGGGTCTTCTTTTAACCTGTTTCTGCCCATAGGTTTGATTTCAGTAAGGCTAAGCTACCTGGAAAAACTTAAATTGCAGTCCCCACTTGGTTCTTTTGATAGCAAATTAATATTTTGCATCTTTTGAATAGCAAATAAATATTTTGCATCTTTTTTGAATGCAAATTGGCTTTATTGGAGCTAGTTTTATCTGCTTCTGGATACACAAACAAACTCGTGCCCACCACCACCCCCCGCCCACTGCTATTTAAAGGAAATTTGAGATAAAACTGATCCTTTTAAAATGAAGGCTTAAAAATATTTATATTTATAAATTACTCCTATTTCATTGCATTGACAGTACCTAAAATGAGACCTAAATTAATTGTACTTGCCAGCTCAAAATTACTTTATTGGGTCACATTTTGCTCACTATGAATGACATATACAGAAGTATCTAAGGATATTCTTGTCTCTCAAGACATTTTGACATTTTTATCTGTGTAACAGGGTACTTTGCCAAATGAAAATGACTAGAGTTCTGTCACTGTGATATGTGTAAAGGAAGAATCTGTTCAGACCAGAAAATATTTTGGTTTTGACAGAAAATTGGTTGTTACAAGTTCATTTTTTAGTGATATTTATCACCTGGACTTAGACAAATAGGGTTGTTTTTTTTTAACCACATGATCTCATACATTTTAGAATTCATCCTGATGACCTTACAAAATTGTTCTGATAATGACTAAGAAAATAAATTAACTGCAAGCAAAGACCATATAAAATTGAAGTAAATTATGATCATTTAAAACCATCTTTATAATCCCATGATACCATCTGCCTGGTAATCAGCTGTTTTTTATTGTGCCTTATTTTAAAGGGAATTGGTAACAAAACAGAAATAAGTGTCAGGGGGCAAGACAGGCTTATAATTTCTACACCAAATCAGAGAAATGAAAAGCCAACGCAGAATATATCATCTCCTGAAGCAACATGTGGTCCTACAGGTGGGTGTGAATGATGTGTGTATAGATTCATTTTGAGAAGTCCTAGTTCTGTTCTGCTATAATATGGTACCTATGTTTCTGAGAAACCTTTAGTTATCAGAAGTAAATTATATTTTAAAAATTGAAATATAAAAGCAATTATTTCAATAGGAAAGAATGAGCTAGGGGCTAGAAAGCTTTATTCATAGTAACAGATATTCTTTCTACAAGAATTTAAATAATGGGAGGGTTCCATAGTTAAAAGTATAGCTGTGAAATCTAAACATATCTGAGTAATGCACCATTTGATTATCTCTTTGCACGAGAATAACAGCTTTACTTTTCCAGCACTCTTAGCACATTCTTACCATTTCCTCCCTTTATCCCCTATTAGAAACAAATTGGCAGGTGCTAGAGCTCTTTTAATTATTCCTAGGTGTGCCTAGATATTAGTAGTATTAATATCTTATTAGGGGCCTGGGGCCTAACCCTCCTAATGTAATCTTGTCTCTGATTACGGTACCAAGAGTTGACAGTAGGTCAAATCTCATCTGCACCTAGTGGTACAATTATATTGCCATCCTCAAAACAAGTAAAGATTTTTTGTTTTTAAGCAGTTCTATTTTCATTTTTGTCTTCCCTGGTAGTACTTGAATATTGATGATTATACTAAAGTGTGAATCTCTGGGGTCCTCAGGTTGGTCTGTAAGGGTAGGATACTATTGCCTTAATAAACTTGTTCATCATTGTAAAGAAGAGTGAGAATAAAAGAAGCTGACACCTTTACTTGTGACTTCTCGGCTGTAAATTGATTAACTACAGCTCCAAAACAATATTATTAATTGACAAAGTAGTGGGATCCTTCTTTGTTATGGCTTTGAACTAAAGTGAGGGAAGCCATTTATGCACAGCCAGCAGCAGTGCAGCTAGAAAATGTAAAGGTTATTTGAAAGGCTTTATTGAAGTAGCTTCTGGTCAATTTTATAGGATGTCTTAGTAGCTTCCTCCTGTGGCGAGGGAAAGGTGATTATTACTTGGGAAGGATCATTTAGGTGGCCCAAGCACTTGAAAACATTAAGATCAGGTACACTGACGGTATCCTTCCTCTTCGGGGTCACAATGAAGTCATTCCCAACTTAGTGTTCTTTCAAGTTATGGTCTTCAATCTAAGTTTTATCCTTCCCCAAAATGGAGTTCATGTGAGTTTTCTTCTGTTTACTTTTAAAGAGTTATAATGTTTAAACATCTTAATAATTCTTGTTTTACCACTTAATATGAAAAGCTTGAGAATTTGTTTTAACTAGTTTTCCGTAACTAATTATTTCTGAAGTATAAGAAGTCCCTTGAAGGGGCCGGCCCGGTGGCGCACTGCTACAGTGCGCCGCTTGGGAGCGCGGTGGCGCTCCCGCCGAGGGTTCGGATCCCACATACAGACCGGTTCCCGCTCACTGGCTGAGCGAGGTGTGGGAGCAACACCGAGGGTTGCGATCCGTTGCCGGACACGAAAAAAGACAAAAAAAATAAATAAAAAAAAAAATAAAGAAGTCCCTCGAAGGCCGGCCCTGTGGCGCACTCAGGAGAGTGCAGCGCTTGGGAGCACAGCGGTGCTCCTGCCAGGGGTTCGGATTCTATATAAGGATGGCAGGTGCGCTCACTGGCTGAGCGCGGTGTGGGCAACACCAAGCCAAGGGTTGTGATCCCCTTACTGGTCACAAAAAAAAGACAAAAAAAAAAAAAGAAAGAAAAAGAAAAAAATAAGTCCCTTGATAGTCAAATTGATGATCAAGTTTTGGCCACATTTTTGTGCCTTTCTCGATTTTCCCACTTTGGTTGTTAATAATAGCAAAACTTAAGTGCACTGTTAACCATTTTACATATAAAATTAATTTAACTCATTTGTTAAAATGCAAAATGTGTAGTAGTGATTGGATTTTGAATCAATAATTCCTAATGTCAACTGAGTAATACTCATTTCTAACCATCTCTTCAGTTCCTTCATCTCCTCAATTATATTTACCTAAACATGTTTACCTGCCTTTAGAACTAAACTATGTCTCAGCTATTTTAGTTTGACTTTATAATTTTTAAAAATCCAATTCCCGGGCTGGCCCGGTGGCGCACTGCTACAGTGCGCCGCTTGGGAGCGCGGTGGCGCTCCCGCCGAGGGTTCGGATCCCACATACAGACCGGTTCCCGCTCACTGGCTGAGCGAGGTGCGGGCGCAACACCAAGGGTTGCGATCCCGTTGCCGGTCCCAGTCCGGTACGGGTGCGACACTGAAGGTTGCGATCCATTGCCGGTCACGAAAAAAGACAAAAAGGAAAAAAAAAATCCAATTCCCTTTTATTTGTATAATTTAGGAACCTTTGTGAATCCTGGTCTCAGCTCATCAGCCTTTACAATTTGAACCATTAAATAGTTTATGTGCTCCCAAGTATTTAACAGTTTTTCAGTGATTTATAACTAAAATTCCGAGAGTAGTGGATAAGAAAAGCAAGGAATTTGGTCAAACCTTAATTACATAAGTGTCAAGGCATCCTTAAACGAGCTTTGTTTGTTTGTTTAAATCATCTGTCTCTTAGGCTCAGTAGAAAAGAAGCAACAGAGAAGATCAATTAGAACTCGTTCCGAATCAGAGAAATCCACTGAGGTTGTGCCAAAGAAGAAGATCAAAAAGGAGCAGGTTGGCTTCCTACATGTACAGAGTTAAAACATTGTGTTTGTAAATGTCGTGGCTTATATTGATATCTTAAAAGAAAGAGAAACTTTTCACACCGGGTTTCCTTTCTGGACTATCTTCTGCTTCTGTCCTGGTGGGTTCCAGTGCCCAATTCTAATACAACCTTCTGTGATTCTGCTTCAAGCATTTTCACAGAAAACAGGCGCCAGGAGATGGAAAGCCAGTAGTGCAAGACTCTTAAAAAAAATCCCTCACATTTATTTTGAGATTTCTGTTATAAGTAAAATGATTTCCATGTTTTCATGATTTTTATTTGGAACCATTGAGTTCCCTTTTTTTCAAAATTGATTTTTGGTTTAAGCTGCTGGTATGTATTGTTTTTATTTTTTAAACAAATCAAATTAACTTATATTCTTATATTTAAGAAGCAGATAATCATAGGTGATCTGGTTTTCCTATTGATATCACAGATTTTTTTGGAATGTTATTTTCCCAGTGGAATGGCACTCACCTGCAGGGTAACCAATATTTAAGTAGATAAAGGGGGAGTGCATTTTGACTGAAGTGTGTTAAACCAGTGTAATTAATATAGTAATATACACGTTAAATTACCTTTTCAAAGAAATTTTAAGAAACCATTCTCCTTTAAATTAAACTCACAATCAATTTTTTTAAAAAATTTTTAAATAAAAGAATATTCATTTTCACAGCCCAGACACCTGCTATTAAACAAAACAAATTCTGAATAGAGTTAGTTCCAGTAAGTTTTATATTTTTAAAACTGTTTAATATGGGAGAGTGTGGACTTTTCTATTTAAAATATTTTCTTCAAAGTTTTAAACTTTTAAATTTAAAAGCTAACTTTGTGGGTGCTCTATGGTATCACCAAGCATGTAAAATAAATTTTCAAGAATATTTAACTAAAATTCAGTCATATACCAATATGTCATTCATTTATCATATTCACTTTCATACTTAGGAAATTATATTCCAAAAAATCTTTCTAAGCTTTTGCAGAGCTGCAGTATTCATTACCAAAATGAAGTTGTGATTTTTGCCAGCTGGTTCCCATATTCAGTCTGTGACCAGTTTAAAATTAACAAGCAGAATGAGTACAAAAAAATGGGACAAATTGTTCATGCCACTGTGTTATAGTTAGTAGTAGAATAATACCAGTGATTGTTTAGAAGATTTTATATTTGTATAACTAACTGTATCTTATAAAAGCATTTCTGTTGTATGTTTTTTTACCTGTTGTTAAAAAAAATAAAAAATTTTTTTAAAAGCTTAGAACAATCCTTAAATATTTACAAAATGTGTTTCAACATGCATATTTCACCACATCTTAAAGAAACATGAAATTCAGTTCACAGCTTAAACAGGAACTCTTCCAAACAGCATCCTTTCTCTACTTCCAATGGTTCAATCCTCAAATTATCACGTGTTTTACATATACATTGGCAGAATAACTTCTGATCTCGCTCTCCTAATGTAGGATCAAGACACTGTTCATAAGACACTCAAGAAAGTGCTTTTGCAATATCACAAACTTATTTTCTTAAGTTTGTACTAGCAGCAAAAGTATTGAGCTTCCAGCTGTATGGAGCCCTGTAGCACTCTCTACAGAGAGGGTCCTGATTCCCAGCAACTTAGCTGTGAGTGCAGGCGCGGAAGGGTCTTAAAGTGGCGTGAGTTACATTAACCTGAGTATCATAGTAAGTAAAAATTTATCCTAACGTCTTTGGGGCGGGAGGGGTTTATAGCAGCATTGGGGCTGGTTGCAGAAACAACCCCTTTCCTGCCTCCCAGACACTGAGGAAAGTATTCTTGTTCTGTTCATATACCAAGGGAATGGTGGGAAAATTCTTTGCTAGAGAGCATGTGGCTGTGTGTTGTCACTTCGTATTCAACACAGGCAGCTAGGATTTAAATCCTCTCTGATCCTGAGACAGAGAACTTTACCCAGAAGATGGGACAGAGTTCAGATATCAGATACATTAATCACTCATCATCACTTAGATTGATGAACGTAGTATTTTTTCCCTCTGTTAATTAAAAGTGAAAAAATTCCTTGTTAATGCTGTATTTTTCTATCCAAACAGGTTGAAACAGTTCCTCAGGCTACGATGAAGACCGGATTACAGAAAGGTGAGTTAATATTATAATGTTGCTTTGCATTTCCTTGATTAAAACCAATTTTAAGAATTATTTATTTGTACTTTTGTGTTTTTGTCTGTCTCTGTAAATCCTTGTTGCTGCTCTTCAGTGTGAAACTGCAGTGTCCCCCAGTGTTTGAGTGTGTGTGTGCACCGTGGGTGAGACTTCTAGAGTTGATCTCATTCTGTACCTCCACTTGAAAAGTCTTACTTGTTTTGATAAATTGGAAAACACCACGTAGACTTGATACTGTTCCCAACTTTTCTCCATAAGATTCTGGGGTTTCACTGGTTTAGAAACTAGGGATGTGACGAATCCACTTTTTTTGGTATTCGACTGAATACCGAATAGTAGCTATTAATGTTTGTCAAACATGGACTATGACAAATCAGACAAGACAACCTGATTGAAAAAATCTTGCCACATTTATTTTTACAGTGCTGTAAAATCTTTTTGTAAATTAAAATGATTCGTAGCATATTATGGCCGCTATTAGATGACCTTATGGGAGTCTATTTGAGATATGCACAGAGTTTAAGAAACCTTAAACTTGTATCTGTATTTTCTGTGTGCAATTTGACTACAGTACAAACTCCATAGCATGATCCATGCATTTTTGGTGAGATCAAACTGTATTTAATACCTGTAGTTTACTCTGGGCAAATTGCATTATTAAAAAAATAAGACACCAGCCTCTCTGCATTCTCGGGGAGAAGTCTGCAGCGATGGTCTCCGTGGAGATCCTCAGCAGAACTGAACAGCCTCTCGGAGGGAACACTGCTTGGCGGAGCTCCAAGAAAAGACATCGCGATCGCTACGAGATTAGGAGGCCTGATTGCGTTGTGTTTCCACCATTCCACAGGGTCGGCGGACCGGGGAGTGCAGGGCGCTGTCAGGTTCAGTGACAGCTCCGTCTCCGCAGCGACCGAGGAAACTGTGGACTGAGATTCCTGTACAGTTTCATCCCAGACACTCCAGACTTGTAGTCTCCATGCAAGATTTCTTTGTCGGCGGCTCGATAAAGTTTCTTTGTTTTCTTCGATTTTGATTTTGCCAATCGTCATTATTGGCATTTTCCTGCCTGGTTTCTTCTTCAAGACTCTGAACAATTGCTTTAACATTCAGATGATTTTTTTTGGTCTGAGCTGGATGGGTACAGCTTAAATCATGGTTCCAGCCTAAAAACCACCGTTTAACTTACACTGATCAATTTCAACATGGACTGTTTTTGGTTTTTGGTTTTTGTTTTTAAATAAAGCATCATTAATGCACATCTGCAGGGTTTTGCCAAACAGCCCAAACTGTATACATTACAATCATTAAAAGCTCTTTTTTAAAATATTAGTGCCGTTATCGTGGAGAACAGCATGACAGCTGTCTTTGGCAGTCTGTCATTTTTCTAGCATTTTCAGAAACTCATCGGAAAAGGCGGTACCTGTGTTTCCCTTCGAAAGCCTCTCAGTACAGCACTCCTGTTCCTCTGTTAAAACTCCTTGTTAATCCAGTGATCTTTTAGGCCAAGGAAATATTTTGTGGTGGTGTTCTGGGTCCATACACCAGCAATGAAGGAGATAGATTTGTGTACTTGTGTTTTTTAATCAGCGTTAACATGGGCAGGCACCCTCATTTATAGATGTCAGGAAACATTCAGTGAAAAACTATAGAATGGGATGTGATAACGAGGTTCCAGTAATGTGAGCAGTCTAACGAGGCCCACATCCTCCACCACAGAACATGGCTTTATACCAAGTGCTTCTCTCACTCAGCCTGTTGCGGATCTTCATGGCCTCAGGAGACTTGTTTCTCCATGGTCTCTTCTGGACTGCACACTTCCACCATAGCTTGCTGGGCTGATCTAGATGTCTGTTTGTTGTATGGAAATTTTGGGGGAAAAAAAAAATCCAAAACACAAACTGTGGGTTGAAATTTTAACCGTCTCCTTGGTTCCTTGGTATTCACCGTGCCTGATCTGCACATTTCATCGTGGCTGTTTCTGTATAGCCTATACTGCATTAGCCCAAGAGATTGTTGCTTTGTAACTTTTTGCACTATTGTTTTGGCTGGATTTGTATTACACACAGTTTTAAAAAAAATTCCACACTATTCTCTGCCTTTTTTTTTCATATTTATTCCTTCCCGCACAAATTCCACATAGAGGCCTCTCATCCAGCTCTTCGTGATTTGGCTGCACTTGAACACTGATTGTCCATTTACAGCCCTCAGTAATGTGCCTCCTAAATGACATGACATATATAGATGTGCTGCAGCACTTGTTAATGATCACAATAAATGCCACTTCACCAAGGAAGTCTCAGATGAACAATTATGAACATCCAAAATTTATTTGGGGGGGGGCAATAACCAACTGAATTGCAAAATTCAGGGGAAAATGGCACTATCCGTGTACGAATCGAATACAAATCAAAGATTTGTCACATCCCTAATAAAAACAACATGGAGATGTCTCTGCAACCATATTTGTAAGCTACACAGTATGTTGGGTTTTATGTCTTCCCCCTCCAAATTGAATGATTCTTTGAATTGCTCCAAATCAATGAGCTGTCCTGCAGTTTTGATAGAATTGATTTTTAGGTTGGAACTTGGGCTCTGTTGACTGAAAATAGCTTTAGAGCAGGAGAACTGAATTAAATGTTTTAATAATAATAGAGTAGTTATAAATTAAATCACTCACTACCAGGAAGGTCAGAAGCCTATGGAATTTTGACTCGTGACTTCAGTGTTAAAAAGAGAGCTGTGTTTTTTTTTTTTTCCACACTAAAGATGAGTTTGGGGAAAGAAAATATTCTCCCATAAAAAAAAAACAACAAACTTTAAGCAGTATTTTAGGATTAATTTCAGTGTGTTGTATTAAGGTGCCAGCGAGATTTCAGATTCCTGTAAACCTCTAAAGAAAAGGAGTCGCGCCTCAACTGATGTAGAGATGACTAGTTCAGCATACAGAGACACATCTGACTCTGATTCTAGAGGACTGAGTGATCTGCAGGTAAATATGTTCGAGAGTTTGGGCACAGTGCTCTTTTTTGCTTTGCAAAACCAAAGTAACAAAATGCTTTTGCCTGACTTATTTGGGGAAAGTGGGAAATTTTAAAAATATTTATAGGAAAAAATCACTTTGGTTATTTTGTAACTTATGAGTGTCTTAATTTTGCTGATTCCTACATAAAAGAAGTATAGTTTTTAAAAATTTAACTACAGTTTCTTCCCAGTGGTAGACGTACAGTATGCATGGGTTTTAGAAAGAGAGGAAGAAAGAGGTTGTGTCCAGATCTATTTGAGCAAGTTTTAAATAGGGTTTTCATAGCATCTAGCTTTGAGGGAATTTTTGGTTTTCTTTTTTTCTTAAAAATATGCTATGTTTTCCACGTAGGTAGGCTTTGGAAAGCAAGTAGATAGCCCTTCAGCTACTGCAGATGCAGATGTTTCTGATGTGCAGTCCATGGATTCAAGTTTGTCAAGAAGAGGCATTGGAATGAGTAAGAAGGACACTGTGTGTCAGGTAGGCAGGTGACTGATCCCGTGGTTTAAAACAATTGTTATCATATTCTGCCAATAATAGACGTACCTCTTGTTGAAGAGGGAAATATATTTCTAAATTATATTACTTTAAAGCTACAGGTCTAAAAGTTTTGTCTGGCTCTTTTCTTCCCTTTTAAGATGGAATACTTATTCTCATGCAAGTGTCAATCTTCATTGTGATATGCTGTTATTAATTGGAAATAAATGGCAGATGACTTATTTCAAAAACATTTTCTTACATCTGAGTTTGTATTAACTTTTTTAAATGTATTTTTACCCTTTTTGAAAAATACTGCTTTGCCCTGTGAAGAAAGGTTAAAGTATGCAGATCCCAAAGAAGAATTCATAAAAGATCAAGTATGACTTTTAAACTTTATACCATATTGGGTCTGGAAATAGTTGTCTAGGTCAGTGGTTCTCAAAATGAAGGGCAGGGACCAGCAGCATCAGCATCTTCAGGATACTTGTTAGAAATGCAAATTCTTGGGCCCCACCCCAGATCTACTGAATCAGAATCCCTGGAAGAGGGACCCAGTAATCTGTGTTTTAATAAGCCCCCCAGGTGATTCTGATGCCTGCTAAAGTTTGAGAACCGTGCTTTTTGCCATATTACAGATCTGTGAGAGCTCTGGGGACTCTCTGATTCCTTGTGTGGGAGAGTGCTGCAAACACTTTCACCTGGAGTGCCTAGGATTGACATCACTCCCTGATGAAAAGTTCATCTGCATGGAATGTAAAACCGGTGAGCTTACTTATTTGTTAGATGTGAAAAGGTGTATAGGGAAGAATGTGCAATGCCCATATCTCCCATAACATCTAATTCTCTCTTATCAATTTTATCTGGCACCCCTCCCATAGGTTTTTCAACAAATTAAGATACCATTTGGTGAATAGGTTTCTCAAGATCGAAAGTGTAGTCAAATTTCCTCTAACTGGTGCCTTTACCATAAAATCTATCAAATTATTGAGATGAATTTGTGTTTTATCTCAAGAGTTATACAAAGTATGTTAATCGAGTCATTTTTCAGGTGGGTTTGAGATTTTTTTGTGCTCAATAAATTAGTTTAAAGCCTCTGACTTTAGTAGACTGGAGTAAGTATTATTCAAAACTATAACCACGGGGATTATACTTTTAGTGGAAAGATGGAACTACTGGACATTCTTTTTAAGACATGGGATTCACCATTTATTTCTTATCCCACTATACATAGACTACTGTCTATCAAAATAATTTATAGAGAAATATACTGGTTTATATTTCTTCTCTATGTAGACATGATCCTGGTTAAAGTCATGGAAAGCAGGGAAGTAGTTTAATCTGTAATAACATGGCAAGTGAAAAATTGGTTGTAGATGGCATGGTAGTGCTTCTAGAGCCATGATTGTGTGTTTTTTTGTTTTGTTTTATTTTAGCTATGAGGAACTAAACCAATTGCATATCAAGTATATGTGATATGCTGCTGATCTTACCCTTGACTCTTATTTTCCTACTCCTTTTTTCCCCATTTTTTGGATTCTGACAGATGTTTATGTTATCCTTTTATATTTGATTGTATGCCTCCTAAAATCCTTTAGACAAAAGGTTGGTAACTTTTTTTACTGAACTTTTCCTTACTAAATGCCAGGTGCTGTTATACAACCATTTTATCTTACTATCTCATTTGCTCCTCATAACATAAGATAAGTATTATTATTTCCATTCTACAGAAAGGGAAACTGGGGACTAGAGAGTTTTGGATCTTGCCCAAAGTCACAAAGATAGCATATGATGAAAGTGGAATCTAAACCCAGGCAACTTGACTCCAGAGTTCTTGCTCTTTTTTTTTTTTTTTTTTTTTTTTTTACTGACCGGTAACGGGATTGCAACCCTCAGTGTCGCGCCCGCACCGCGCTCAGCCAGTGAGTGGGAACCGGTCTCCACATGGGATCCGAACCCTCGGCGGGAGTGCCGCCGCGCTCCCACGCGGCGCACTCTCCAGTGCGCCACTGGGCCGGCCCGGGAGTTCTTGCTCTTAAACATTGCTTTCTACTGCCTTGACTAAGCAGGATGGACATCACGTATCATATCCTAATGTACACATGCACTCACATACATAAGCACAAATTAAGCTATAGAAGCTGTTTAGAACATATAACTTATATTTTCCCTACATAAAATATTTTATTCATCACATTTATACTCTGCAGTAAAAGTTTTAACCTTCCTGGCCCTTTTAAGCATTCAAGTATATAACCACTGATTTAAGCTATCGATTAGGAAGGACCATGCACCTCAGTATTAAAACAATCTTAGGGCTCTTCCTAACTCTAGAATCTAGTAGAATTCTGCCAACAAAAGTTTGATATAATTTAATTTGGTACATGTCTGTTAGGGAATTTAAGAAGGAAATTTGCATTAAAAACAGTTAAGTGGAACAAAATTGGAAGACTCGGACTTCCTGATTACAAAGTTTACTACAAAGCTACAGTAATAAAAACAGTGTGATACTGGCATAAGGACAGATATATGGACCAATGGAGTAGAATAGAAAGCCCAGAAATAAGCACTCACATGTATGATCAAATGATTTCTGAGAAGGGTACAAAGACCATTCTGTGGGGAAAGGGGACAGTCTTTTCAACAAATGGTGATGGAAAAATTGGATGTACATGTGGAAAAGAATTAAGTTGGACCCTTACCGAACACCATAAAAAAAAATTAACTCAAAATCGATCAAAGACCAAAATGTAAGAGCCAAAACTATGAAATTCTTAGAAGAAAACATGGGGGAAAAGCTTATGACATTGGATTAACATTAATTTCATGGATATGACACCAAAGGCACAAGCAACAAAAGGAAATATAGGCAAATTGGTTTGTCAAAAATAAAAACTTTTGGGCTGGCCTGGTGGCGCACCGCTACAGTGCGCCGCTTGGGAGCGCGGCGGCGCTCCCGCCGAGGGTTCGGATCCCACATGCAGACCGGTTCCCGTTCACTGGCTGAGCAAGGTGCGGGCACAGCGCCGAGGGTTGCGATCCCGTTGCTGGTCCCGGTCCGGGCGTGACACTGAGGGCTGCGATCCGTTGCCGGACACGAAAAAAGACAAAAAAAAAAAAAGGAAAAAAAATAAAAATAAAAAAATAAAAACTTTTGTACACCAAAGGACATTATCAGCAGAGTAGAAAGGCTGAAACAGGAGAAAATATTTATAAATCACATATCTGATAAAAGATTAATATCCAGAATACATAGAGAACTCTTTCCACTCAACAACCAAAACCCAAACAACCCAATTCAAAATTGGGCGAAGAATTTGAGTAGACATTTCTCCAAAAAAGATATACAAATGGGGCTGGCCTGTTAGCTTAGTTGGTTAGAGCTAGGTGGTACTGATAACATCAAGGTCTAGGGTTTGATCCCTGTACTGGCCAGCCACCCAAAACAAAAGCATGTGAACATATGCTCAGCATAATTAGTAATCAGGGAAATGCAAATCAAACCACAGTGAAATGCCACTTCACACCCATTAGGATGGCTATTATAAAAAAAAGAAAAGAAAAGAAAACAACAGGTGTTGGCCAGTATATGGAGAAATTAGAACTCTTGTGCCGTGTTGGTGGGAATATAAAATGGTGCAGAGGCTGTCAAAAACAGCATGGCAGTTTCTCAGAAAATTAAACATAGAATTACCATATGATTAAACAATTCCACTCTGGATTTGTTGCCCCCAAAAATTGAAAGCAAGGAATTCCAGAAGATATTTTTACACCCATGTTTATAGCTGGATTATTCACAATAGTCCCAAATGTCCATGGATGGATGAATAAATATACAAAATGTAGTGTATACATACAATGGAATATTCTTCATTCTTTTTTTTTTTTTTTTTTCCTTTTTTTTGTCTTTTTTCGTGTCCGGCAACGGATCGCAACTTGCGCCCGTACCGGACCGGGACCGGCAACGGGATCGCAACCCTCGGTGTTGCTCCCACACCTCGCTCAGCCAGTGAGCGGGAACCGGTCTGTACGTGGGATCCGAACCCTCGGGCGGGAGTGCCGCTGCGCTTTCCAAGCAGCGCACTGTAGCAGTGCGCCACCGGGCTGGCCCATATTCTTCATTCTTAAATGAAATTCTGACACATGCTACAGCATGGATGAACCTCAAAGTTATTATGCTGAGTGAAATCAGCCAGCCACAAAAGGACAAATACTGTATGATTTCATTTATGTGAGGTACCTAGAGTACTCATTTTCTTGGAAACAGACAGTAGAACCCCGTTACCAAGGTTGCAAGGGAGGGAGAGACAGGGAGTTGTTTAATGGGTTGAGTTTCTGTATGGGATGATGAAAAAGTTCTGGAGATAGACAGTGGTCGTGATCACTCAATAATGCAAATGTGCTTAATGCCACAGTACTGTACACTTAAAATGATTAAAATGCTCAATTTTATATTGTATATATTTTACCACAATTATGAAAAACAAATGTGTTTGACTTATGTATTATGACATGAAAATTAGTTTATTATTAGGATTGAGAACTTGGACTCTTCAAACCATTGTTTAAGGTCAGTTAGGCAGTTTTTCTTTTTTATCAGTAAACACTTTACGTGTAAAAAGTATTACAGGATACATACTGAATAACGTTGTATACTACCATTTTCTGTTATTTAAGACAAATGTGATTTCTGAAAAGAAAGCATTTTCATTTGCCCTTTTGAATAAAATGTATAGTAGAAAGAAACTACAAAAAATGTTTTACTTACTATTTACTGTTAATGAAGACCAATTCCTAGTGAAAAAGGATGGTATTAGAAGCATTCCCGTGCTAGAGCTCCCAACCTAAGTCTGACAGGGGTTTGACAGCTCTCTATTAGCATAACAGATGTACTAATGGGAGTTATAACAATTGTCACTTATATTGTTTTGATCATTATGTGAGTGAAAGCCTATTGGTAGTTTATGTATTAGGCAAAACTGTAAAGTCAAACCTACCTTTGAAATATAGTTTTTAAAATTTCGAAAAGTTATTTTAAAACATAGTATTACCTTCATATCTATCTATCTATATATATGTTAAAATATAATTTGAAATAACCCATATGCAGTGGACAATCCCCCCCCCAAACCTACTGTATTTCTGCAATAAAGACAGTAAAAAAAAAAATGCGACTATCATACTTATAAGTTCTCATTTTAAAGAATTTTTATAATTCAGCCAATTTGTAAAGATTAGGTACTTCCAAAATCAAAGAACAATAATGCAGTTTGGCTAACTTTCCTTAAAAGTCAAAAAATTCCTTGCTTTTTTTCTTCCTTCAGAATTTTTATAGGCATTATAAGAAAAATGGGCAAAAGACTTGAACACTTCCCAAAAGATGATATCCAACTGTTCAATAAACATTTGACGAGTTTGTTGTTACAATTTGCATTTCTTTGTGAACAACTAAACATTTTTTTTTTCTGTATCTTTATTGATTCTCTTGTGAAGTATCTGTTCACGGGTCTCTTGTCCATTTATGTTTTGCAGTGTTAAAAGTGTTCTTATTAGTATTCTAAATTTATTTCTAATTATACAAGAAATACATAAATATATTGTCATGAAAATACCATCATTACAGCTCTAGCTGATGTCTCCCTTGATTTTCACTCCTAGGACCCTACTTAGTTTTAGCCCTCACCAGGGTCAGCCAGTGTTATCAGTTTGGTGTGTAGCCATGTAAATCTGTGTGTGTAACATTTTTGTGTTTTGTAATAAAAATGTATCATACCGTTGTTCTGCAAGAGCTCTTTTTATGTCAGCACAGATACATTAATTTTTTATTGCTGCATAGTGTTCCATAGCACATAATACATCACAGTTTACTTAACTCTTCTCCTGTTGAAGGACATTTGAGTTGCTTTCAGTTGTTTGCAATTAAAAACAGTGCTTCAGTCAACATCGTTTTACATGTACTTCCATAATAGTTATTAAGAAAAGGAATTTCTAGACCATAGGAAGTAAATTAATTTTCATTTTATTTATTTATTTATTTATTTATTTATTTATTTATTTTTTAAAGATGACCAGTATGGGGATCTTAACCCTTGACTTGGTGTTGTCAGCACCACGCTCACCCAGTGAGCGAACCGGCCATCCCTATATGGGATCCAAACCCGGGGCCTTCGTGTTATCAGCACCACACTCTCCGGAGTGAGCCACGGGCCGGCCCCCTTAATTTTCATTTTAATGGCGATTGTCCAGTTGCCTTTTTACGTAGTTCCTTCCAACTTAAACTTCTACCAGCAGTATAGAAGAGTGTCTTTTCCCCTTCAACCTTATCAACAATTGGTATTATCAAACTTTTTTTTTCCTATTTCATAACTGGTTTTAGTTAACATTTATCTGTTTACTAGTGAAGTTCAGCATTTTTTCATGCTTTTTGGCTGTTTGTCTTTCTGCTCTCTGTAAGTTACCTGTTCATACCCTCTGCCCACTTTTATATTAAGCTGCTCTGGTTTTTTTTCCTATGCTTCTTTATAAATCTTGTTTAGTTATCTTTGCTTATACATGTTGTATATATTCTCCATATGTGAATTCTTTATACCTTTGTCGTTTTTGTTGCACATTTTTCTACATCTGTTATCTTTTACTTGTTCCTTCTTTATTCTGTTTCTATCATAATTTTCATTATTTTTACCTTTAAATGTTTGGCATATTCATTAGTGCACCCATCTGAGCCTAAAATTTTCTTTGTTGGAAGGTTTTTTGGTTTTTTTAAAAAATGTAATTTTATTATTTTTTTACATTCTAGGATGTTGTTGCAGAGCAGTTGGGAGAGGGGACAGGGGAAAGGGGAAGGAAATGTGATGGAAGAAGGAGGAAGGGCAGAATTGAGGCCTGTGGCACCCCCCTCATTCCAACAGGGGAGATGTGGGGGGCTTCCAGTGGTGGCTTGCTTATCGCTGGGCTGGGTACAGATGTCACGGGGATGTGTCAAAAGCCCTCGCCCCCACCACCCCAGCTTGGGAACACGGAGCCCTTCTTGCTTTGGCTTGGTGGTTATCACTGGGCTGGTTGCGCATGTCAGTGGGGTGTGTCTGAGGCCCTCATCCCCCAACCTCGGGACTGGTTGCGGGTGTCAGGGGGCATTGCTGAGGCCCCTGGCCCTCCCCACTTTCTGGCTTGGCAGCCCAGGTGACTTCTGGTCTTTCTAGGTGTTATAGGTGTTCTTTGGTGAAATGAGACCTTTGTTAGTTAATATCAAACTTTGTCTCTGGTTGCAGGTACTTTGTTTTTTCTTTCAGTTCTGTGTTGGATCATTTGCTGTTCCCACCACTTAAACTCTGTACTGGAACAAATTTGTTGTCCTTTGCTTACTTCTAAAATGGGGGAACTTCCTGTGGGGACCAGCACTATAGCTGTGTGGTTTAGCTAAACTGCTGCTTTGCTGCTGATTCCCTACGGAAGGCTTTTTGTGCAACTCAGGTTTTAATGGTTGACTTTATAGGTACTTATGGGTCTAGTGAGATCCAGTTCACCTGGGCTGTGTATAGACTCTGGTCTGGGCCTGAGTCTTTTCATCAAACTGCACCCCCTGCAGTTCTATATTCCTGACCAGTCTCCTCTGAGTGGGCCTATGCTGATTGGGGAGCAGATCAACTGTCCTTGCTGTGTCCCAGTGTTCGCCCGGTGGGCCCATCTCCCCCACCGCCCATGCTCCGGTCTCTTGTGATGACTCACTAGCCTCTGAGTGGCTCCTTTTTCTTCAGTTGTTCTGGCTTCTCACTCGTATGTGGGTCCACGGGAACCCTGTTAGTGGTCTTGCTGGCCTGGGGGCCACCAAGGCCCTCTTCTCCCCTGCCACCTCCAAGCAACTTCATCCAAAGGGCACAGCTGCAGTTTTTGCCAGCTCCTGCTCTGTGCACTCAGCAGCTCCAGCCTGGAAGCAGCTGGGGTTCGAAACGATCAGAACAGTACTTTCTCTCATCGTGGCTTCTCCGGCCTTCATGAACTCTGTAGGTCTCTCTTGCTCTTCCCCTGAGCTCTAGCAGCCCCAGCTTGGCTGCCGTTGCTTTTTTTTTTTTTTTCCTTTTTGTCTTTTTTACTGACCAGTAACGGGATCGCAACCCTCGGTGTCGTGCCTGTACCGGGGACCAGCAATGGGATCACAACCCTCGGTGTTGCGCCCACACCGCGCTCAGCCAGTGAGCGGGAACTGGTCTCCACATGGGATCCGAAACCTCAGCAGGAGCACCACCGAGCTCCCAAGCGGCGCACTCTCCAGTGCGCCACCGGGCCGGCCCTGCCGTTGCTTTTTTATAGTTGTAAATTTGTTGATTTGTGGGAGAGAGTGATGCTGGGGACCGTCGATTCTACCATCTTGACCAGAAGTCTCCTTTGTTGGAAGGTTTTAATTATAGTTTTAATAGTTTATAGAACTATTCATATTTTCTATTTATTGTTGTTTTTAGAATTTATAGTGATATACTATTTTTTCATTTCTGTTATCATTAATATCGGTGCTTTTTTCTTTTTTTTAATTGGTCACTCTTACCAGGGTTATGAGTCTTATTAATCTCTTTTCAAAAAACCAGATTCTGTTAATTCTCCCCAATGAATTTTTTTTTAAGCCAGTCAGATTTAGAAGTGGGAGGGTCATATACCAACTTTAGTGACAGTAATGTTAATAAGTTCTTGATAACCCACTGCCTTCGGCCCAGCCCCTAATGAATGTTGATTTCTCTAACCAACTGAGCTAACTGGCCAGCCCCTGATTATTCTTTATTCTTGAAGAATATTTTACTGGGAATGGAATTCCGTTTTGGTAATTATTTTCTTTCAGCCCTTTGAAGATAGCATTCCATTGTTTTTTGGCTTCCATTTTTCTTTTGCAGTCAGCTCTCTTTGAGAGTAATTATCTTTCCTGTGGATAATTTTAATATTTTCTTTATCCTTGATTTTCTACAGTTTGAATAAGATATGTCTAGCTGTAATTTTCTGCCTTGTTAGGACTGAGTTTTCATTTTGTGTCAATTTTACATATAGAAATTGTTAGTGATTATCTAATAGAATCTCTCTTTCCATTGGTGATTTTAAAAATTTACTCTATGTGGGAAGACCTTGCCCCACTCTCTGCTCCCAAGTGTTGAAAAAATTCTGTTCTGGGTTTTGTATGGAATTAATTTTACAGATCTAAATTGTTTTTAGTGTTGTATTTCCAAATTGATAATTATTTTAGCAAAATTTATAAAATAATCTTTTAATTTAGACATTTATTTTAAATGCCCTTTTTTTGGTATATAAAAAAATGTGGTAGTAGTCTCAGGAGCAGCTCTTTGATGTCTGTAGCTGCTTCTGTTTAAAAAGAATATGCTTTAATCAGATTTTATTTAATCTATGTTCCTCACCAATTTTTTAGGGCAGCATTCATGTTTTTCATGTAAGGTGTCTAGTAAAGATGTGAAACGTTGTTCTGTTGGTGCTTGTGGGAAATTTTATCATGAAGCCTGTGTCCGCAAATTCCCCACTGCCATCTTTGAATCAAAAGGATTCCGCTGTCCCCAGCACTGCTGCTCTGCCTGCTGTATGGAGAAGGATATCCACAAAGCAAGTAAAGGTAAAACAGAGCTAAAGAAGGGGACAAATATTTTTTTTTCAGTGCAGTAACGAATAATATATTAAGCACATTTTTATAAACAACATTGGGCAGTCTCCCTGTTTACCTCTAGGTTTAACAGTTCAGCCTAATAGGTAGCATGTTAAGTAGGGATTAAGTTCTAAATTCAGACCATAAGAAATATCCTTGAGAATTCTTTAGGCGGGTTCCATATTGGATACTGCCATCTCTTCAGCATTGGAACAGACAGTTTTTTCTTTGGGTGATCAGTAAATGAGCATTAGACTTACATTTAGAGGCCATATAGCATAGGAATGGCAGAGTCAGACTAGTGAAGAAAAATATTTTTATCTTAGTATAACTAGCATTGCATGGGAACCCAAAAAAGCTCAGCTCCAAAACTCTCAGTTCCTATCCAGCTGATGCCTTGTTATATAGATTCCTTTTCTACTTGTCTTTCAACAGGCCGCATGATGAGATGTTTGAGATGTCCAGTTGCCTTTCACTCTGGAGATGCTTGCGTTGCTGCTGGAAGCATGTTTGTGTCCTCCTACGTTCTCATCTGCAGTAATCATTCCAGACGGAGCAGTAACTCTTCTTCTGCTGTAAATGTAGGCTTTTGTTTCGTTTGTGCCAGAGGTGAGTGTCAGTCCTTTCTCTTTATTTCTTTTTTTAGTTCATTGGCATATTTCCCCGTTAAAATAGATCCTCAGCATTGGGAGAGAACTCAGGTCATCTAGTATAATCTCCCACCCAGTGCAGAATTCCATTATATATCTGAGAGATACGAACATTTCCAGTAACACGTCCCTTTTATAACATTACACGTCCAAATTATTAGAATATTAAATTTTTCCTTAAGCTAAAATCTGCATTTTTAAAAATGACTTAAAACTATAGATATATTCTTAGTTTTTCTAGCATCAAAAGATTAATCTATTCCTTTCTGCAAACAATTCTTCTCTTCAAAGTAGATCCTTCCCATGTCATATTCTTTTATCCAGAACTTTCAACCAGTTGAGATTTCACTTGTAAGGCAAGACTAGCACATTTGTTTTTCAATTGTTTATGTTGTATTTTATCATAATGTTTTGGTCTGGTGTTGAGGAAGGCCTGATGGGACACAGCCAAGGCAACATATGTGGTGGTGGTAGTTAAAAGCCAGCAATGCAGGCTTTCTTACTTGCCAGCTGTTGATATTTAAGTATGCCAAGAGACTGATAACTAAAAACAATATTGTGTCCCAGAGGGGGTCAGTGAACTTGAGTTTATGATAATAAAATAGAATTTATTTTGTTGAATATGATACAAAATATCCAACTTTATTTCAACTGTATTATAATAAAACTATTTTTGCACTTAGTAAGCATTATACAAACCTACTAATATCCCCACATACTGTTTTGTTTTTAAGTGCCAAGTTTTCTGAACTTCCCTTGGTGTGAAATATTTGAAAGGAGTCTAAGGCATATCAGGTCTGTTAGATTATTTTTAGATTATACTGAAGAAGAAGGTGTTTTTTTGTTCATTTGTTTTTGCTTTAGAGGACAACTCTTTTAATTTGGTGAAAGTACTATGAATTTTTTTTTTGATAGAGTTTAGGTACTATGATAGAACTTAGGTTGTTTTGTTTTTGTATTTCACATTTTAAAAAAATAACTCAGAGGAGCTATACAATAAAAGATTAAATGCTAGAACTTTGTGTAGTAGCCAGCTACTGTTTCCGTTGTACACGCTGCTTTCTGTTTGTCTGAGTTTCATAAGCACGTGCATCTGCCTGCCATTGAAGCAGGAAGCACTATGTCTTTCTTCACTAGAGCAATTACAACAGTGTCCTGATCTGAAACCTGGCCGGTACGTGGAGGAGTAGGTCTGAAATGCTTCATGACACATTGTAATAGGTGACCGAAAGGATTTAAATAGGCAAATAATAAATACAAAGTCATCACTATTGCCTTTCCCATCTCCCTGTTTCTAAGAAAGTAATGATGGAAAGGAACTATTGAATTATCAGTTTAGTGTTTAGCTTTAGAGACTTTTAAACAGAGTGTGGTAGTGATGATAACATAAGAGTTCCTTATCGCTTTGTAAAACTATTCTACCATTCATAGGCACCTAACTTTTCTGGTGGAAGTTAAGCATACATACCAGCCAACATTTTGAGTAACAAGTTTGTAACGATTATGTTTGCTTACTTTAGATACATTCTGAATCAAGTACCATTAGTTTATTAACCAATGTTTCCTCTTGCTCTGTTTTATTCAGTAATTGGGAGGTATTTAAAGCAGATATTTTCGATTTAGAACAGGTAGAAAATGGTCTGCTTATAGATATTCTAGCCATTTTGTTAAATTTAACTTATATGCCTTGATTAAAAGCTTGAGAATAATGTCAAAGAGGGGAAAACACAAGTTTTAACAACAGCATCTATATTTACCTCTTATCAATTTGACAATTATTCTGGAAGATTTCTTGTATTTAAATGCATATTTAAGCAAGATTATTTAATTCCCGAATATTTCAACTGTGAAACTCTGTGCAGTAAACAGAAGCCTTCCTTTTCCTTTCCAGCACTTGACAGAAACTTATTCTAAATAGATCAGATGTTGGGATTTGAGAAGGCTTTATCAAAAGTCTTTCAGAACTATTTATGCTTCTTTTTAAGGAGACCGAACTAATAAATCCACACATACAAAGGACACTTCGATCATTTATGTTTTGGTATAGAAGGCTTGGCTTGTTTTGCTTGTTTGCTGCCTCATACAGAATTTTTCCTCCACATAGATAATTTTTCTTAGTTCTTGGTTATTGGATGTTTGAAATCATTAAGGTAGTTCTTAAGAACTGAAATGTCTGAAAATATCTTTAGAAATGTTTCAAGGTTTAGAGGAACATTGCTTCTCCTCCACTCCCAGCTAACTCTTGGTGCCCTAGGAAATGTTCAGACATGTTTCAATAGAGTATACATATTCTTTTGTATTTCCTTTCATCTAGAGGGTTTTACAATAAAAGTTACTTATCATTCTATGCCTTTCTTTGTAATGTTATTTAAAATGGAGAAGGTAAGCTACGGTTTTCTTTTCATTTTATTAGTAATAATGTCAATTTATTTTGCATATGTAAATCAAATTCTACTAGACACTAGCAGAATGAATTGCCACAATTACCTTAAGATGTTATTTCCTTATTTTATACATATGAGAACACTGAAGCCAAGGTTAAATAATTTACCCAAGGTCACACAAGTTGTTAAGTGGAGGAACCAGCATTTGCACCTGTCTTTCTTACTTCAAAGCCCATGTTTTCTTATACTATGCTGCCTCCCTCTATTAAATGTATGAAGTTCATTTCAGCATTACTCAACTTTTATTAGAAGATTCTTACGTTATTAGCAACCTCAAGTTCCATTCTATCATCTGGGTCAGAGATATTTCTTGAATCCTTCTCAGTATAGGACAGCATCAAATGAAGATAATGCCCACAGAAAAAAGTAAATGGTAACCCTTTTAAAACAAAACTCCTCAAAATGATCTCTAAATGTAATTGCTTATCACTGTAAACTGACCAGTAGTCAAGATAGGAAACTTTTCTCTGGTCTCACAGTTCCCTGGGTTTAGGAGTGTCTCACAGCTACATTACGAACTTAACTGGGGGAGAGGCCAGGCGAAGAGAAGGGGCAGTCCCAGTGGGTCAGAGCAGATCTTGTGTGTTCCTTCAAATAGGATGGCTGTATTGATAGATCAAAGGACTGTTTTTATAAACTCTTAAGATGGTAATAACTTCATATTGTGGCAGGGAAAAAATAAAATGTTTTTTATTACCTCAGTAAAGTTCATGAAATGATGGCTCCTTTAAAATTATGTACCATATTGATAGAGAAAGTTTTCATTATCCAGCAGAGAAAGCTAGACTTTGAGTATATCTCAAATGTGAATGGAGAGAAGGAGAGACTCAATTCTAACTTTAAGTGCTACCAGATATATTGAAGGTAGATTGGGGTCTACTTTGTTATGTAAATGATTATTATTTCTAGCTAATTAGGTGATATGTCACTTTGTTCTTTGGGTTGTCCTCATAGTACTCTCAATATTAAGGAATGTAGCTTTGTTTTCCCTAGAGGGTTTTCTGTATGTTATCAAATGCGATTACATCTGCAAATTATTTGGAGTTTTCTTCTGTAGTATATAGGTTTCTATAAAGGAATAAGGCATGGAGTAGCTCAGACTCCCTTTAATAACTGTAGAAAGCCTTTCTGTCAGATCCTTGTTTTTCTTCATCTTCTCTTTTTTCCCCTCCACCTTTAAAGCATAGCTACATCATAGGTGTTGATTTTATTTATTTTTTCTCATGGAATCATGGGTAGTTTCATTGCAGCTCATCTCTTTCTGTTTGTTTCGTATAGGGCTGATAGTTCAGGACCATTCAGACCCCATGTTCAGTTCATATGCCTATAAGTCCCACTACCTACTGAATGAATCAAATCGTGCTGAGTTGATGAAATTACCTATGATTCCTTCCTCGTCAGCTTCCAAAAAGAAATGTGAGAAAGGTAATAATGAAAATAGTTTATCTCTTGCTTTTATTTTGGCATTTCCTATTTTTTTCTCTTTAAATGAAGGGGGGAAATGTATGCCTGTCAAGCACCATTTTTTGCTTTTGGTAAATTCTGCCTTGGTGGTTGTAACTGTGTCTTCATATGGCTGCAAAATTTTTAAGAAGGGCTTAAAATAATTCCATTATTACAAATTTTTACTTACTCTCCTAAATTTTCACACATTCAATATACTGTATGTATGTTATTAAAATAGACTAGGATTTTGTTCAATATAGAAGAATATTCTAAGGGCTCTTTCTCTTTTGCCTGATGTAGAACTATTATTCATGTTAGAATAGAATAGACATAATTTGTTACTAACTTTCAACTAAATAACAAGATAAGTTACTAAAAGAAGAAAATCAAGACAATGATACTTAAAAGTTTGATTTTGAATACATTCTATCATTTTGTTTCTTAAATGTTTTGTAAAGATACTATGAAAACTAGTTGTCCTTCCTTTAGGAGACATTGGTGGGAAGCTGGGAGTAGATACCGCAAATACTGGATGTTGGAAGGCAGCCCAGCTGAATTGCTGATGATAATTTATCCATAGAGAAATCAGAGCTAAATGTATATCTGTATTCTCCCAGTTAATTTAATCTACGGAAGAAAACATCTTGTGTTTAGCTTTCCATAGCCTACTTCTAGTAAAGGAAAAAAGTGATTTAACAATAATGTGTTATTTGGGGAGTTATTATCCCAGAGGGAAATACAGATGAGCTTGAAAGGTGAAGGTCTTTTTCTGTATACGTTCCCATTATGATCTGGGGCCAGGTTCAGAATCTTTAAAAAAAACTTCACACCTAATATATCATATATGTATACCGAGAATATCTGAAATGGGCTTTTTAAATTTTTTCATTCTTTGTGTTGCCTGTTTGATGTATCTTTGCTCTTTGTCAGATACCTAAAGTGGCAACTCATGACTAAAAGAAAGTATGACTAAGCAAGTTGACTAGAACCTATTAGAAGTATTGGAGAGAGTACTGGCTTGTTTATTTTCTGATGAAGTCGGATTATATCCCCTTATTAGTGATACCACCTCCTTCCAAAACAAAGATAGACATAGGTCTGACTTACTTCATAATGCAATAACATTAGTCTACCCAAGGCATTTTAGGAAATATTCTATTATTTCTGCTGGCGCCTTTATACAATTAGATTAATTCAATTGTTGCTTACTCTGCTTTCAATACTTAGTATTAACCTTGACATGAATTGAAATTATTTTGAGCCCTCTGTTTGCTTAGCTTGAACCCTGTCTTACTTCTCCTGCAACCTAAAGCAGTTTTCTTGCATAGCACCAAGGTGGATTGTTCATATGTATTTTTTTCTATTTCCCTTGTGTATTTTTAACATCTTTGCCATTATGATTTTCACTGATAATTCTGGCTCTGTATTTCCTCTGAAGTAAGACTTAAAATTAAGAAATATTCCATAATGTTAAGAGTGGCCAGCCTGACTTTTCCACGTCAGCACCAATAATCCCATGTCCTTAAAAGCTGTTTGCAGAGACTCTTATCTCTATTGATCATTCCTTTCTGATGGAAAAATGAATAATCTCATTTTATTTCAAATTTACAGAAGAATTCCATACCTAGGCTTAGACCACTCAGGCAGCTAATCTCTAGGCTGGAGAATTGAACCAATTAATCCATACTGAGAACTACAGTCAAAGGGAACTATTCTGATGATTGAAGTAAAAGCTTTTAAGCAGAGGAAATATAGTAATTTAATTCATCACTGGTTGTGTACAGATTTTTCTTTTTGCTTTTATGTTAATCAGTTAGAAGTCTGAAAGCCTACAGGAAGACAAGATTTTCTGGAAAATTGGTAGCAAACACTCTAAAGGTTGGAGCATGTGATTTGGAAAAGTTGTACAGAGGGCTCTTACCCTTTTGCTTCTGGGACGTTAAATCTCAGTACACCCATGGGGTATGGACCTGATTTTCCAATGGAAAGATGATTTTTTTTTTTTTTGCAGTAAATGTCTTTATTATATTTCATCTTCAGTGCCTAACAATCTTTGTCACTTTTTGAAATATGTATTAGAAGTACCTAATCCCGCTCCAAAAAACTTCTTATTTCTTTGCATTTAAAAATATTATTTTGTTTGCCACACCTGTTTTTATCTCAATCCAGAGATTGTTTTTGTGTATTTAAAAGGAGAAGGTTTTGATAGGGAACTTGGAGGGAACTCCTTGCATATGGTACTTCATTATAAACTGACACTTAGTTTTATGCTATAAAGCAGTGGTTCTCAGTATGAAGTCAGAAAACACTTATGCTTATGTAAACAAAATTTTTGAACTATGTTTAATATTTCAAAAAATCTAACAATCAAATGTTTGTGCAAAATAAAGCTGTATGAGTTTACATTTGGGTATGATTTTAACAATTTAATGTGATAATACTAGTTTTGTTATTGGGGTCAGAATCTGACTGACCCCATATATATTTTTTCTGGTTAATAAAAATAGGAGAAATTGTTAGTTTTAAAATGTAGATTTTTTATTTTGTTTGATAAAAATATTTGAAAATGTGGGTTCATGAGGAAGGGAAAGGGGATCCTTGGTGATGAAAAAGTTGCAAACCACTGCTATATAGCCTGTTTGACTTTTTAAAATCTTCACTGAACAGGTAATGATAATGTAATCAATTTGAGAATCTATGTAGCTTTTTTTTTTCGTATTCTTTGACGGAAAGAAAAAAGTACTGCTCAACCTATTGGTTATTTTCATTCTTGCTAGTGTTATAAAGGGATTTAGTTAACTGTGGCACTGGATTAAAATACAAAGATAACTGTGGCTTTCTTTCTTAGCTCTGAAGGAGAAAAGAAAGTGGCTGCTTACTTCTTTGAAAAACCTGCTGTCACATCAACCTCAGTCTCATGATTTTGTGCATCTATTTTGTCACATGTTGAGTTTTAGCTGCTTTCTAAACTCATACCTCAATAGCCCACATTTTAGAGGAATAAAGCGAACAGTAATGCTTTGGTACTACTCAAAAAAGCTCTCAGTTTCTGGCCACGGAAGCCCTGAAAAGTAGCTGCATATGTTCATTTGCTTTCTATTTTAATCCATTGCTATAGATATGACTCAGTCTCTTTGTTATTTTCCTTCAATTTAAATCAAATTTAATGTGCTTAAAAGATAACTTTCTTCCTTTTCTTTCTTTTTCTCTTTCCTCTTTTCTCAGTTATTAAGACTGTTTATTTGTTTCAAGGTGGAAGATTGCTTTGCTGTGAATCGTGCCCAGCTTCCTTCCACCCGGAATGCCTGAGCATAGAAATGCCGGAAGGCTGCTGGAATTGTAATGACTGTAAAGCTGGCAAGAAACTTCATTACAAGCAGATTGTTTGGGTCAAATTGGGAAATTACAGGCAAGTTTTTCCAAGAATAAAGAGGAAGTATTCAATCATTGTTCAGACCAGGTTCATAATCTGGATACAAGCAACTAGGAGACAGGTAGAACAGCATGGACCTACTTCCTCAGAAAAGGAAAGAGAAAAGAAAAACATGTTCTGGGTCTGGGTGTTGAGGGGGTTGGGAAGATTATGTCATGGTTGGATTCTTTCTTTTTCTTTGTGATTGGTTGATTGACTTTAAAGTTCTCAAAGTTATATATACTAACGAACTATGTACTCCTAGATTTTGGATGAAAGGCTTTATGTGGACAGTGGAGATTTTTTTGTGTATATCTTAAATAGATTTATATTGACTTCTGGTTTCTAATAAGATCAAGAGTTTATATCTTGGTGAAAATAGTTCTTTGCCCCTGAATCTGGTCCATTTTGTTTTAGCTAGAAGCCCTAAATTGTGTGTAAAGAGAGACCTTTTTAGAATTTAAGGAGAGAGATTATTCCATTAAGAGCATTTAGTTATTTAGGTAATGAAGTAAGTATGTGTAATTGCCATTACTTTTTAGTAAAACTTCCTCTTTTAAGGCTTTTAACGAGCCTTCACTGAACAGGTATAGTGATATATTCTTAAAAGTCTACATTTTTGGGCCGGCCTGGTGGCGCACTCGGTAGAGTGCGGCGCTTGGGAGTGCGGCGGCGCTCCCGCCAAGGGTTCGGATCCCATATAGAGACCGGTCTGCTCACTGGTTGAGCGCGGTGCGGGCGCGACACCGAGGGTTGCGATCCCGTTGCCAGTCGCGGTACGGGCGCAACACTGAGGGTTGCGATCCCGTTACTGGTCACGAAAAAAAACAAAAAGGAAAAAAAAAAGTCTGCATTTTGAGGCATGTATTTGTCACTTTACTATAAAAATAGATACTATTCAAGATAATACAATTAGAGGTGTGCTTTTCAATTAGAATCCTAGAATCCTAAGTAAAATATATTTCTGTAGAATTTCAAACATAATTTTTTTTTAGCAAGAGCTATGTTGTTTTCTGTTATGAATATGCTGCTTGCTTACCTATTTAATTTTTTTTTTTTTAAAGATGACCAGTGAGGGGATCTTAACCCTTGACTTGGTGTTGTCAGCACCACGCTCTCCCAAGTGACCTAACCAGCCATCCCTATATAGGGATCTGAACCTGTGGCTTTGGTGTTATCAGTACCACATTCTCCCAAGTGAGCCATGGGCTGGACCTATTACCTATTTAATTTTTTTTTTTTCCTTTTTGTCTTTTTTCGTGTCCGGCAACGGATCGCAACCCTCAGTGTCGCGCCCGTACCGGACCGGGACCGGCAACGGGATTGCAACCCTCGGTGTTGTGCCCGCACCTCGCTCAGCCAGTGAGCGGGAACCGGTCTGTATGTGGGATCCGAACCCTCGGCGGGAGCGCCACCGCGCTCCCAAGTGGCACACTGTAGCAGTGCGCCACCGGGCCGGCCCTACCTATTTAATTTTTTAAAATTCATTGTTACCTGGGATCAGAGGCATTGAAGTCAAGAAGTCCCCCCACCCCACCCCCCTTTTTTTTTTTTACAGGAAACCTCCAAGTCCTCAAAAAGTTATTTTGACAGTTTGAATATATAAAGAATTTTATATTATATGGCAAAAGACATGATAAAGTTTTTTAAAAGAAAATGTCAAATTGGGGGAAAGTATTTGCTCTTCTGCATTCAATAAAAAAGGATAAATGCCTCATTAGAAAAAGGGGCAATGAAGAGAACGAGCCAGTTTGCAAAAGAATAGCAAATAGCAAATAAACATGGAAAAAATGCTCAGCCTCACTAAAAACAAATGTACATTAAAACAAAGCTACTTTTTTAAAAATTAGATTGGCAAAGATTTAAAAGATTAATAATTTTGTGGCCAGTGAGGGCATAGGCAAATGATTGCTTACAAAAATTTGAAATTACCCAAATGTGGAATCAGTAGAGGATTTGTCAAATTATAGTGAATCCATATTGTAGAATACCGTGAAGCCAATAAAAGGATAGTGCAGGTCTGTATAGTACCATGGGAAGGTACTCGTGATATATAGTTGAGTTTAAAAAGCATGTTAAACAGTATATACAATGTGTTTCCGTGTGTTTACACAATTTTAAAAATTGTAGATCTAGATCCAATGCACTTTTAATACTTGGAAAGGTATATATCTAATGTTAGTACTAGTCTCAGGGATTAGATAACAAGGGGAAGGCGTTTTCACTTTTCTGTTATACATTTCTGCATTATTTTAATTTTTAAAAGAAGTACAAACTGCTTTCATAATTTAAAAAAATATCTTTCTGGGGTGGGGAGAAATGCACAGTTTGACAATAGATAATTCATACACATACATGTATCAAAATATTACTCTGTACCCTATAAATATGTACAATTAGTATATGTCAGTTAAAATAATAATTTTTAAAAAATGGGTAAGACATTTCTGGATAAGAAATATCTAAAACAGTATAAGAAGCTTTCAGATCTTCAAATTTCAGAATTTTTTAAAAAGTTATGAGTATGAAAATATCTTTGACTTAATTTTAATACTTAAATTTTAATTACATTGCGTTTTAAAGAAGCTCAAAGCAGTGCTTCAGTTCAGTTCACAGCCCAATGAGATTTTATATCTAGGTCAGATTCTTCTTGTATGTTTTGGAAAGACTTCCATCCATGAACTAATTCTTAGTGTATTTCTTTCCAGTCAGAAAATAAACACCTGAAGCTGTTTATTTTCAATAACTAGTTACTCCAATGTGTTGCTTCCTGGGGGAAAATGTGAGGACCTGGAACAACCCCCAACAGAAAGTGTACCTCTTCCTAACTGACCCTAGTGAACATAGTAATGGGTTCATATTTAATTACTTTAAAATGACTTAAAAATAGAGTAACCATTTCCCAGCCTGCATTGAGGGTAAACCAAACCCTTGTCACATAAAATAGTGGTTTCTGTTTTTTGTTTTGTTTTTTAACAATTTGAGCATGGGTTCTTACCCATGTGTTTAATTCTTAGATGGACAGCAGTTACCATTCAGATGATTGTTACTCAAGTTCTGCAATATAAATCTGGGAGTGCAACCGTGTCATCATTTATCTTTTAAACATTATAATTATTTGTTAAATAAATTGTTCTATTAATCATATGTAAAATAAGGGATTGAAAAAATTTAAGTTTATGTATATTTACTGTTGATATTGAGGATTTTATATCTTACTAAAGCCCATGTGGGGAGCACTGAGGTTGGCCTTGTTTTCTGACCTTCAGCTTCACCCTTCAATCCCTGACTTGTCCAATTGCTGGAAGCTGTCAAATGCTCCTTACAGATAGTTTAATTTGGTGACTGCTGTAATATTCATTTATCATAGCATGGAACAATTATGTTTCCATTCTGTCCCCAACCCATGTTTATTATGATCTAGGATGAATTAGATTTTGAAATACAGACTGATATAAAACCTAGTACATTTGACCAAGAGGTGTTTGCCTTAGTTGATTAGAGATTCAGAGAATGCTGATTTGAATGGGAGCCATTTTTTTCTATAGCATCAGTTTATTCTCAAAATGGTTCCCTTGACTACTAGAAATAAACTTTGATACATTAAAAGATAGTCTTGGGCTGGCTGGTTAGCACAGTTGGTTAGTGTGCCACCTTGTGACTCCAAAGTCAAGGGTTTGGATCCCTGCACTGGCCAGCCACCCGTCCCCACCTTCCACCCCCTAAAAAAGATAATCTTGGTATTAAGTATGTCAGGTTTGGTGGAAAAAACTAACTTTTTTAGGACAGAAATTAGGTTTGGAATAGTATTGGTAATATTCAAATTCTTTCTTTGGGTAGTGGGTTTGGTGTTATTATACTTCATAACATATTTTCTTGATATATGTTCTTTTATAAATGTCAAATATTAATTTTTCAGGGTTTTTAAATTTGTTTTGACAGTTTTTTAAAGCAAGAAACTAGATCAGGTGTTTAGGATCTACTTTGTTTACTCTGTGTTCACTATTTCATTAGTTAATTCATTAATATGTTTTTAAATGATGTGTGTGTGGTTTGGACGGATTAAAGATAAGGTATTTTGTGTTCTTAGAATCCGAGTGAAAATTACAAAATACAAAAACTTCTTTTCCTCCTGCCAGTCTTGTAAAGAATAGTGTCGTTTTTCGTCTTCTTGGTCTAAAACTGCTTTTGTTTCCAGATGGTGGCCGGCAGAGATCTGCAACCCCAGGTCTGTGCCACTGAACATCCAGGGCCTTAAACATGACCTGGGGGACTTCCCTGTGTTCTTCTTCGGTTCTCATGACTATTATTGGGTGCACCAGGGCAGAGTGTTCCCTTATGTTGAAGGAGACAAAAGCTTTGCTGAGGGACAGACTAGTATTAACAAGACCTTCAAAAAAGGTAAGTTGGATGATTTTTACTGTGATTCACAATTAAGACTCCAGTGTTGATTTTTCAGCATCTCCTAACTTGCATGTGACATATTTCTGGTAGCAGAGAATTTTCACCAGGCTTTATGATCTTGTATCCATAAGTTTCTAATCACATTAGACCAGGTTTGAAATACATTTCAGTATAATAGACTGTGCTGTTTATGTGAAAGGAGTTTCTTCAATGATCTTTCTATTAAAAAAAAAAACTATTTTGGGAATAGTCTTCTTAATCAAGTGAAGCTCTTTTGTCACAGAAGAGTAGTAAAGTCTTCCCATGAAGAACCTTACAACTGCTTTTGCAACGAGTTGCCAGAAAGTTTGGCTTTCTGGAAGGTAAATGTATTTAAATCTAGTACAAGGTAAAATGTTTCTCTGAGGGTCACTTGAAGGCTACTGATCATTGAGGTAGGGCCACTTCTCTGAGGCAGCAGCCTGCCTAGGGCAGTGCTCACTAAGTTATGTCCTATTTCATTGTTACCCTGTCCTGGTGGTAAATGGTCATTTCTAGAATATAATTTTAAAAAGAAAATCTCAGGCCAGGTGCAGAACATTGGGAAGGCAATTTAAAACTACTATCCTAACAATTCTTGTTTGTTTTTTGGTACTTATATACTTTGTTTGGTCTTATCGGCAGCACTGGAGGAAGCTGCAAAACGTTTCCAGGAATTGAAAGCACAAAGAGAAAGTAAAGAAGCATTAGAGACTGAAAAAAACTCAAGAAAACCCCCTCCTTACAAACACATCAAAGTGAGTTTTTACCCATGAAAACATTGGTATTTGACAGAGATGCAAGCATTACTCTCTTAGTAGTTAAAGGCCCTTTTTGACTTGTGAAAACTTCTGCAAATTATCACCGTCTTCTGTAAAACTGGCTGAGAGCTTTTGTTGGAATCATCAAATGGGAGCCATAGCTACTGTGCTGTGAGGATTAGGTCTTTGATAAACCTTCTCATACTTAAGAGCAACACGTCTTATATGAAATCCTGTTCTTATTGTATGGGGTTATCCTGCAACCAAATAAGTGAAAATTCACATTAAATTTGACATTTTTGTCAACTGAGGAGAGACATGGGGGAGCTTATTCATGGAGAAATTAAGATAAAGAGTCTTTCTCAGAGTCTCACCACAAGACAGTAGCAGAAGCAAGAACAGCACTGACATTTTTGGTATTCCTGTGCAGGTTGATAACTTACCTCTGCCTTCCTTTCATTTGTGATTTTGTTTTCTAGGCTAACAAAGTAATAGGAAAGGTACAGATCCAGGTTGCTGACCTGTCAGAGATTCCCCGCTGTAACTGCAAGCCAGCTGATGAAAACCCTTGCGGCTTGGAATCAGAGTGCCTGAACAGAATGTTGCAGTATGAGTGTCACCCGCAGGTGTGCCCCGCTGGAGATCGGTGTCAGAACCAGTGCTTTACGAAGAGGCTCTACCCTGATGCCGAGATCATCAAAACGGAACGGAGAGGCTGGGGCCTCAGGACCAAAAGGAGCATTAAGAAGGTGACATGGGATGGGGACAGGAGTCGGGGTGAAGTAGACGAGAACCTTTGCTCTTAGGGATGCTTCAAAAGATATAATTCTAGGGATAAAATATATAGGGATTTATGGCAAAAAGGAGATAGCTGGTGACAGGCATTGCTATTTGAAATTGGTTAAGAAGGCCTGAGTAGGTGACATCTGACCTGAATGTATAAAGTAGAAAGCCATGCAGATATACAAGAGAGAGCATTTCAGCCTGAAGAAAAAGCAAGCAGAAAGGCCTTAGCATGCTCCAGGAACAGCAAGAAAGCTAGGATGCCTGGGGGAGAGTGACAAGGAGAAGACCAGCAGGTAGGAGATGACACGGGAAGGGTAGCCGGGGACTAAGTCATCTGGAGATGCACGGGAAGGGTAGCCAGGGACTAAGTCATCTGGAGATGACAGTCCCCGGCTACCCTTCCCGTGCATCTCCAGATGACTTAGTCCCCGGCTCCCCTTCCCGTGCATCTCCAGATGACTTAGTCCCCGGCTCCCCTTCCCGTGCATCTCCAGATGACTTAGTCCCCGGCTCCCCTTCCCGTGCATCTCCAGATGACTTAGTCCCCGGCTCCCCTTCCCGTGCATCTCCAGATGACTTAGTCCCCGGCTCCCCTTCCCGTGCATCTCCAGATGACTTAGTCCCCGGCTCCCCTTCCCGTGCATCTCCAGATGACTTAGTCCCCGGCTCCCCTTCCCGTGCATCTCCAGATGACTTAGTCCCCGGCTCCCCTTCCCGTGCATCTCCAGATGACTTAGTCCCCGGCTCCCCTTCCCGTGCATCTCCAGATGACTTAGTCCCCGGCTCCCCTTCCCGTGCATCTCCAGATGACTTAGTCCCCGGCTACCCTGCCTGTATAGTCATCTGGAGGTGACACAGGAAGGGGAGCCGGGGACTAAGTCATCTGGGGATGGCACCGGAAGGGTAGCCGGGGTCTAAGTCATCTGGAGATGCACGGGAAGGGGAGCCAGGGACTAAGTCATCTGGAGGTGACACAGGAAGGGTAGCCGGGGACTAAGTCGTCTGGAAATGACACGGGAAGGGTAGCCGGGGACTAAGTCATCTGGAGATGACTTGAGAACGGTAGCTGGGGACTTACAGGCCACAGGCTGGGACACTTCTGTACGATTTTAGTAGGGAGTGACTTGATCTGACTTGGTTTATTAGTTTTCTGCATAACAATATTACTACAAAGTTAGCAACTTAAAATGTAACACATATTTTATTCTCTCACAGCTTGTATGGGTCAGGCGTCTGGGCATTGCTTAGCTGTATCTTCTACTTGGGGTCTCACAAGTTTGCAGTCAAGGCGTTGGCTTGGGCAGGGTTCTCATCTTGGCATGACTAGGGTGGGATCCATTTCCCTGTTTGCATGGTTGTTGGCAGAACTCTATTCCTTGTAGATGAAGGTATGAGAGCTTCCAGTTTTTTATTTTTGGGTTTTGTTTTTTTTCTTGCTGTTGGCCAGGAGCTGCTCTGCTTCTAGAGGCTGCCTGCCATTCCTTGACATATGGGGCTCCAAACATGGCCTCTTGCTTCCTTACAGCCAACAAAGGGAGAGACACTCCAGCAAGACAGACACTAAAGTCTTATGTAATAAACCCATATGATCACACACATCCTGGAACCTTTGCCATATTCTGTTGGTTAGAAGTAAGTCACAGATCCTGCTCACACTCAGGAGGGGATCACACAATGGCACAAATAACAGAAGACAGGATCATGGCGGCCACCTTGAGAGTCTCTCTGTTGCACTTGGGTTTTAAAAGGATAACTTTGGCTGTAGTATGGAGAATTTATGATAAGGGCAAAGAGTGATAAAAAGGGGACTATCGGAATAGTCCAGGAGAGAGATGATGGTGCCATGGGACCCCCAGGGTTGTAGCTGAGCAGAGGAAAATGGTAGAATTTCTGACATTCTGAAGGTGGAGCCAACAAGATTTGCTGATGTATTGGACATGTGAATTGGGTTGCTTGGTCAAAGGCCACCTACATTTAAAACGTTGTATAGTGCAAAATTTTTCATATTACTTTAATGCCTTGCATATCACACATACAGGTTTTTGCCTATAATTTTGGGGGAGTTTATGCAGCTATCCTGAAATCTACCCAGTTTAATATTGCGTTAACATCTTTTAATTGTAGTTGCATATATTCTAAAGTAGTTTATTAAGTTAATGATATAATCAAGAGAAAAGAAAATACAGCCTGGATTTTTCTGCCCTTTAACACTTGAGGAAAGAATTGCTGTTTTACAAAATAGCTAGAAGTGTATAGTCATTGAAAAGCATGATCATGAAGGGTTTGTGAGTGTAGCCATATGAAAAAGATTTTTAATACATTTATGGGAAAGAAGCCAAATATGAAATGGAATATACACAGTCAGCCCCTTATTTTTCCACACATGACAGAGTCAAACAAGGGACTTCCTGTTATAAGGTGGTTTCTTTTGCAGAAGATTTCTAAAGTATTAAATATCAAATCACATACAGTCTTTTTGCTTCGGTCTTTAAAGACAGATTTTTTTAAGTTCTTTAATTTGTTATGTTTGTTCACAATTGAATTGACAGCTAATGGTTTTAAGTCCAGTAAGTAACTCTTTGAGAGGCTAAAGATTTGTCACTTTTAGGACTTTTAGGACTTTTTTCCATCTTTGTTCACAATGAAATATTTCTGTCTTTATTCACAATGGCATCAACTTTACGAGATTTGCACTCATATCAGATATCAGCATTTTAATTTTTCTATATTCACTCATTTTCATAGAGTGTAGATATAAACCATCATAAATCATTGTCAAACTTTTAAAGCCATAGAACCATTTCTTCAAATGAAACCTTACCTCGAATCCCAATATGGGAAAAAGATGCAGTGGAGCTGATTTGGCTGAAATTCTAGGTTCTCTAGGTTTCCATTAAAGACAATTTGTTATGTATAAAATAGTTATGTACAGCAACAGCAGGTGGCAGTGCAACCAAGACAGCACTGCAGTCTTCTTCTGCCCTTGAGGACAGTGGCAGCATACCATGGTGCAAAATGTTGTTCATCAGCTGATGTTAGAGTCCAAACTAGATAAAGGAAAAGCCGTTTGAGGCTAACACAGTGCATAACATGGGAATGTGCACAACTGCCCGGTGTCCTTGGTGAGGAAGGACTGGAAGGAAAAAGTGGGGGAAATAAACTGTTCTGTTATGGCGTTGCAGTTATAGATGAATTGTCTTTCCTTTCTAATCTAATTCTTTGTCATAGCTTATATAATAAATAAAAATGGGAGAGAGAAAAAGCCAGAGGTCAGCTTTTCTGGTTACCACCCCTCCAGTTGTGACAAGTGTGTAGCTGCTTGGAGCAGACTGATGTTCCGCACTGATCTTGCTAACAACAAATTGCCAGGGAAAAAGACCGATGCCTGGCAGGCTACGTTGGTTCCTTCTCACTTAACCCACCAATTTCTTTTCTCTTATTACAAAAGTAGTAATCTATTTTTATCAACAGAGAAAGGTTAATATTTTTAAGAACATTGGCTTATGTTCTTAATGATCTACCAAAGTGAGAAAATATGATGTAGTACTTCTTTTAGATTACTGATATTTGCTGTCAACGGTTCTGTAATGCCGAGACCTATGAGAAGAGCTAGAGAAAATGGGTGAGAGGGGTACAGAGAAATAGGACAAATCTGATGAAATAATAAGCCAACACATTTTTGTTTTTCAAGACAATTTATTTTCCTCTAAAGTGTATTAGTAATGCTGATAAGTACTATGGATAATGCTTTTGTCCTAGATTGAATCAGCAATGCTTTTGAGGTGAAAGAGTTAATGATTATGTAATTATAAACACAAAATATTGAATGTATAGTATTTACTTTTATTTTAAAAGGAGCTTATCACTGTATACCTGCTAGAGCAGCTAAAATGCAAAAGTGACAGTACCAAATGCTGACAAGGATGTGGAGAAACTGGATCTCTTGTACATTGCTGGTGGGAATGTAAAATGGTAACGCCACTCTGGACAGTAGTTTGGCAGTTTCTTTAAAAAGTAAACATACATTTGGGCCGGCCCAGTGGCGCACTCGGTAGAGTGCGGCGCTTGGGAGCGCGGCGGCGCTCCCGCCGAGGGTTCGGATCCCATATAGAGACCGGTCTGCTCACTGGTTGAGCGCGGTGCGGGCGCGACACCGAGGGTTGCGATCCCGTTGCCGGTCACGAAAAAAGACAAAAAGGAAAATAAATAAATAAATAAATCCCTATTTAAAGGTTGCGATCCCGTTGCCGGTCACGAAAAAAGACAAAAAGGAAAAAAAATAAATAAATAAATCCCTATTTAAAAAAAAAGTAAACATACACTTATATGGTGCAGCAGATTACAGTCCTGGCTGTTTATCCCTGAAAAAGGAAAACCTGTGTCCACACAAAAACTTTTACCAGAATGTTTATAGCACCTTTATTTGTAATGGCCAAAATCTGGAAACAGTACAAATGGTCTTAAGTGGGTGAATGATTACACAAACTGTGATACATCCATGCTTTGGAATGCTCCTTAGCAATTAAAAAAGAACACGCTATTGATAAACACAAGTTGGATGAGTCTCAAGGGAATTAGCTTAAATTTTTTTTTTAAAAACCAATCTCAAAAGGTTATGTACTATATGATTCCATTTATAGAATAGTCTCAGAATGACAAAATTATAGAGATGGAGAACAGATTAGTGGTTGCCAGAGTTTAGGATGAGATGAAGTGAAGGAGTAGAGGATGGATGCGATTATAAAGGAGTTACATACAGAAGCTCTGTGGTGAAAGAACAGTTCTGTATCGTTCTTACAGTGGTGGTTATGTGATTCTACACCTGATAAAACCATGTAGAACTTCATACACACACAAATGAGTACAAGGAAAGTTGATGACATCTGAATAAGGTCTGTGGATTCTACCAATGTCAGTGTTCTGGTTTTGATGTTGTTCCACAGTTATGTAAGCTGTTACCATTGGAGGAGACTGAGTGGAGGGTACAGAGATCTCCTCTGTACTGTTTTTGCAACTTTCTGTGAATATCTATAATTACTTAAATATAAAAAGTTTAAAAACAAAAACAGAACTTTCTTGTTTAGGATTCAGATCTTTTCCAGGTCTTACCCACAAAACCTCACAGCTGCAAAGTCGTAAATGTCTGATACAGCTTCAAAGGCTGGAGTGAGCTTTATCCCCAGATCCCAGTGATATACCATATGGTGTCACTTCGATTACAGAAATAGTATCGTCAGAAAGAAAAAGCAAGCAGATTATCACCTTTTCAGACAGTTGTACAAGAAAAATAGTCCCACCTGAATGCCCATGAATAAATAACAAACCATTTATTTCTGGGGTTGAAATTATTTGAGTATTTCCAGGATTTATTTTAGTTAATGATCCTGGATTATACTCGTACATAAGTTGTTAGGGATTACTTTCTAATATAGTACGCTGATTTTACACCTATATGTTGCATGCTTCTCTGCAGGGTGAATTTGTAAATGAGTATGTTGGTGAATTAATTGACGAAGAAGAATGCAGACTGCGAATCAAGCGAGCACACGAGAACAGTGTAACTAATTTTTATATGTTAACTGTTACCAAGGTAAAAGTGCTTTTTTTGTTGTAAGAAAAAAGGATTTTAAAAATTTTGTTTCATGGTCTTAGGTTGAACTCGGTTTCTTTTAATTTGATTTTTTTTTCAGGCAATTTATAATGATTTGCAGTAGCCAGTGTGTTATCTACTATAGGTGCTAATTATACCAGAGTACAAAATGAATGATGACTGAAGCCTTGCACATGTCATGTGAGACAGCACTGCGAGTGAAAGATAACCAGGAATAGGGTTAACATATCCGGAGTTTAGTCCCAGCCCTTCTTAGTCACTAAAAGACCTGGGTCTCAGTTTCTTTATCACTGGAAGAGAAAATTAGCCCTCTGGTTCTAAGTCACAAACCACCATTAAAGTTCTGATTTAGCAAAAACGCTAAAACATTTTGTGTATTTAAACTTTTTTTTTTAATAATTTGGGAAAATGAGTGCTGTCAAAAGAAAAATGACAGTAAAACTGCTAGTTTAATACATGTAATTGTAAGACCCGTTTGATGCACATTCCATCCATTATCTCATTTAATGTTTTCAACAGTCCACTGATTTACAGAGGACAAGAAACTGAGGTCCAGCCATGATAAGTGATTTGCCAAATATCTTGTTACAATTTTAAAAGCCAAGACTAGTATCCATGTTTCCTGTGTTCCAGGCTATCTCTAAATCTGAGAGTCTGGGCTGGCCCGGTGGCGCACTGGAGAGTGCGCCGTGTGGGAATGCGGCGGCGCTCCCGCTGAGGGTTCGGATCCCATGTGGAGACCGGTTCCCGCTCACTGGCTGAGCGCGGTGCGGGCGCAACGCCGAGGGTTGCGATCCTGTTGCCAGTCCCCGGTGCGGGCGCGACACCGAGGGTTGCGATCCCGTTACTGGTCAGTAAAAAAGACAAAAAGGAAAAAAAAATAAATAAAATAAATAAATAAATAAATAAATCTGAGAGTCAAAGTACTATTAAAAGTAAGAAGCAGAGATCATTTAAAAGAAGCATTTTAACTGATGTGTCATTGTTTGAAAGTCTTACAACTTTCATAAACATGTTTCATGACCATAAATTAAAATGCCATTTTTAATGATTGCTGGAATCTGGCTCCTTAAATCCGATCCTCATTGCCAGTGGTCCCTCCAGCCGTCTGGACAACCATCAGGAAGTTCAGTCCTCTGGACTTTATCCAGATCATCAGAGTTCAAATTCAGGGGCCTAAATGTTCAGCTTTTTACTGTAATTTGAACTTTAATATAAGTAAAAACAGAGAAAATACATAACTACTGGAGAGTATATCCCATACAATAGTATCAAACAAGTCTCCAAGTCTTTCTTCGGGGGAGAAGGTTTTCATTTTCCCTCTTCATGGCCTAAGCTCTCATCTGTCTACCCCCGTGCTAGTTTTGCTTCCTGCCTAGAGTGGAGAAGAAGGGCTGAGAGCAAAACACCGGAGTATACACCACGGATGTCTGAACTTAGAGCTCTCTGAGCAGAAAACACCATTCATACACCTGTGGCTCACCAGTCGCTCACTAAGTAGCATTACCCTATGGTCTGTTTCTAGAAGCAAACTTGAAAATAAACTAAATTCCACTTTTTATCTTAATTACTTTGACGTGAAGTTCATCGAATAAAGAAAAACTTAGTAAACTGCACAGGGAGCATCACATTTTCAGAGTTGTCAGTTGTCAGACATCAGCTGGTATCAAAGTGCTGCTGCCGCCTTGTGGCTCTTGACTGGGTTGGATGTTTCTAAGTTAGGTTAATACTTAGTTTTATGTAAAAGGTACCTTTCTCTCCTTTTCTTTCTGAAGGACCGTATAATTGATGCTGGCCCCAAAGGAAATTATTCTCGCTTTATGAACCACAGTTGTAATCCAAACTGTGAAACACAAAAGTGGACAGTGAACGGAGATGTTCGAGTTGGACTTTTTGCTCTTTGTGATATTCCTGCAGGTAAAAGCGTGACCTGCTCCCCGTGGTCCCCTCCCTAGGAAGGAAGTGTCCTTTGAAGGCAGGACATCATTCTTCAAGTCTTGATGCCCAAGTGTTTATTCAAATAAGACAAAGTGTTATATTTAGATTTGAGTGTTATCTTATTAGAAGTAAAAATCTATATCGAAAGAAATTAGCAAGAACCTTTATGTAAGAGAGGATCTTACAGGATTTTCTGTCCATAATCCTATTGAATTAATTCTCCAAATTATTGCTGTCCATATAATGTAGCCAGATGTTTTAGCTGTTGTTTTCTTTTTAAAACATATTAAAAGTAGTTAGCTTGTGTTAACATCATCTGGATTCTTGTTTTTTGTTTTGCTTTAAAAAAATCATTCTGTTTCAAATTAGACATAGAAAGCATAGAAAGACATAGAAAGCATTGTCCAGCATCTCAACAGCAAAACTTAGCTTCTTTAAGTTTGTAGAAAAATGGGCAAGAGAAATGCTGTAGGTGAAACATTTAAACTACATATCTAGAACTTACTGTGGATTGTTCAAGCCCAGCTAAAGGAAAGTTTAGGAGGCCCTCGTTAAATCCCCGGATCTTTGCCTTAATAGTAAACTTCCAACTTGAACGATTATTCGATCGTAGTATAAGGCATTAATTGCTAGAAATGGTATTTTCACAATTCTATAGTCACATTGTTCACCTAGAAACTAGTGTGATTAGCTTTAGAAAAGAGGGCTAAACTAGAATCTTATTTTTCTTGAGCATAGACTGCAGATCCTTAGTCCCTGTCACATTGTTTTTGACCACTTCTGTGAGAAGGACATGACTTCTTTTTAGGATATTTAGTGTTGCTGTAATTGTTGATGGATGAGGGATGTTTTCCTTCAGGTTTTTCCCCCGCTTTTCCTTTTTTCCCTTCACTGTTTTTAGTGAGGTTGAACATGGGAAAGGGAAAAGTCTTCATGCCAGAATTATGTCTCTTTTTTCATTATGACAGTGTCTGTGACAGCATTTCTCTTCCCCATGACTAAGTGTGAATAATTATTTCTCTTATGTTTTAGGGATGGAGTTAACATTTAATTATAACTTGGATTGTCTGGGCAATGGCAGAACAGAGTGCCACTGTGGAGCGGATAACTGCAGTGGCTTTCTAGGAGTGCGGCCGAAGGTCAGTTGTGCAGGGGAACACCCAAGCCCACAGGAGATCGGGGTGGAGCTGGGGAAGAAGTCTGTTTATGACCCGCTCAGGAAATGCTGGCAAATGGGCACCCGGTTTAGTTTGCAGCTCATAAGTTGTGCTTACCAAAAGTTCAGACTTTCTGACTTTCCAATGAAGCCGATTTTAGTAAGGTCTGTTAGGTTCTGAAAATGTATTTGTATTTCTGATTGAATTTGAAATTAGCAAAGTTCTCTTTTAAATTAAAAAAAAAAATACATAATATACTAAAACTATTGACATTCACTTTTTAAAATGGTGAATTTTGTGGTATGTGAATTACATCTCAGTGAAAAAAATTTGCTGGTTGTCTAAACATTAGTGGGTTAAAGTTGCTTGGATTTACCACCACACTTGCAATTTAAAAAGAAACAAACAAAAAAACACCCTATTTGAAAGGTGATGAAAACAAAGCCTTGTTCTTATTATAGCATTATTACAGGATAAGTCCTGATGTTTTTAGGTCATTGTACAACAGATAAATTTAAATGAATGTGAGGTTGTAGGGTTTGTTTTTTTTTTCTGTGTAAAGGTTCATACACTGCCTGTGACCATTGAAACTGTGGCCCTTTTTTCCTGCCAGTCGGCATGTGTGTCAACAACTGAAGAGAAGGCCAAAAATGCTAAGTTAAAGCAGAAGAGACGAAAAATCAAAACAGAACCAAAGCAGATACATGAAGATTACTGTTTCCAGTGTGGAGATGGTGGAGAGCTGGTCATGTGTGACAAAAAAGACTGTCCCAAAGCATACCACCTCCTATGCCTTAACCTGACTCAGCCACCATACGGTAAGCTGGAACTTCCAGATTTGTGTCCTTGCCAACTGTGCATCTTTGCTAACTAAGAATATATTCCACTCTCCCCAGCAGAGCCATGGAATAGGAAACTTTGAGTGGAACAAACAATAGCAAACAGAAATTCTGCTAGTGAGATATCTGTCCCCCTGCTAACTTGAGATACCCTGTGGGCCAGCAAGGATTGGTCCTTATTTACTATTACCATGGGGGTAGTTGGTACCTATGGCATTGGGTTTTGACCAATAGCTGAAATCCGTATGAAATAGTACACCCAGATCTATGTTTGGCTGAAATTGGGAGTTGTATTCAATTAGATTTTGTCTCCAATCAGAGAAGAAGGTGGGAACTTGGGTAATCAAGACAGGCACTAACTTGGACGCTGTTCCTCCTCCTTCCCGCCCACACCAGGGAAGTGGGAGTGCCCGTGGCATCAGTGCGATGAGTGCAACAGCACAGCCATTTCCTTCTGCGAGTTCTGCCCACGTTCATTTTGTAAAGATCATGGAAAGGGGGCTTTGGTTCCCTCTGCGCTGGAAGGCCGTCTCTGCTGCTCTGAACATGACCCCGTATCTCCTGTGTCGTCAGAATACTGGAGCAAGATAAAATGTAAATGGGAATCACAAGATCATGGAGAAGAAGTAAAAGAGTAAATGGGTAGTGATTTCTCCCCCCCCCCCACTTTATTTAAATGAAGAGAGAAAAGCAAAAAGATCATGCATTTTAAAAAAAGAGACTGCTGCAGTGCATACAGCCTTTGCCATCGGAACTGCCTTGTTAAGGCGAAAATGGAAAAGTAGTTCATGCAGGCAGAAGCAGGCGGTGATGTCTGGTTTCCCGTTCGCTCTGTTGGTTTGGGGATTCTTCTGTGGAGGGCTAAATTCCCTTGGTCTTTTCTTGCCTGTTACTGTGCTTCAATGCCTTTGCAGCTGGAAGAAGAGATATCTTAGCTTTTGAAATAAGAACAAAGAAAAGGAAGTTTTGTTAATAAGATGAATTTAAAGTCTGAGATGTGTCCCTTGGTTGTACAAAGCAGAAGTAGCCATCATTCCTTTATTATTTTCATTTTTAGGAATTCCAAGAAGTGTAGTTCAGATTGTTTGACAGTGTGCGTGTGCGCGTGTGTGCGTGCGCGCGCGTGTGTGAAGTAGGGATCAGAGAAAGCCCTCTAGAGAAAGGCGTGATAATCTTTACATCCTCTTTCCTGCACCGTAGGCAGGCTCACTCTTCTTTCCCTTCAAACTGTGTTTCATGGTCTTAGGGAAGGACTCTATGGAAGTACTAAGTCTGGCCTCTTGAAAACAAATGCCTCGGTAGCTTTTACCTCTGCGGTCTTAAACCAGGCGGGCTTTGTGATATGGTGACTTTACCTAGAAAGGCATATAATGTGTTTTTTTGTTTTGGAGGGGAAAAAAAGGAATGGATGCCCTCACTGATTTTGAAATGTTTTCCATTGCCAGTGGGTTTCTTTGATGAGGCGGGTTTGTGTGGATATGAATGCATAGTTGGAATGGTCACACCTGTTATCCTGACACGTAGATAAAGGTAGTTAAAGGGAGATGAAAGGCATAGACCAAAAGTTGAAACATATAATCCTCATTGTCTGTCCAACTTAATGTAGACCCTGGTCTGACTTGTAGAGAATAGTGGGCATTTTATTCTCTGTCTCTGCTGCCCTCTCCGAATCAAACATTTCCTTTGTCAACTGACCAGTCATGTTTCCTAGTGAATTTGAATCATATTGGAATAGATCTTTTTGGCTGAGTTCCTAATTGGGGTGATGAAAGCAGTAGGGGCATCCCCAAGTTATATGTAAACAATTCCTATTTAGTATTATGCAATATTTGAAATTGTCCCCATTGAAGTAAGGGGAAGAACTACTTTTACAGGGTATATAGGAGCCACACAAACACCCGTCATCTCAGCAAGCACGTGGAGAAAGCTCCCACGAGGGTCAGTGTTAGCAAAACTGGTTGACTGTGATACTTGCATCTTATAGGGTCAAGTACACCAAGATGTCTGCCCACACAGCTCATTCGCACTAATGCTTGGGAATGTGTATGTTCCAGTATTCCTTGTGTGAAATAATTAGTAATGTCAGACATTGTGGTGACACTGTACTAAGTAGAAGTCTAGGGTTAGCTTGAATGAACATTAACTTTCTCTGTGAATTTTGACTGCTTACAATTGCTGGTACCTGGTAGCACTTATGTTCCCCCAAGAAGTACCCAGTAACCCTACGAAGGTAGGGAGGGTAGATGCTCTACCACGTTCCTTCAGTTGTGTTATGTGTGTTCTGTTTTCTTATCCATTTAGAGCTCTTCTCTGGAAAGAAGAAAAAAAGCTGTTTTGTGCCTCTTTTTGTATGTAAATGTGCAATTATAATGGATTTTCTCCTGTAAAACAACAACAACACTACAGTTCCTTTACTTAAGCTCCTAAACTGCCATTTGCCTGATTCCAGCAATTAATTCTAAGGTGACTTATTGGTCTTCCAATAATTCTGTTGATTAGATGTGGTCTCAAAAGAGCAAAATGGAAAATGCTATTACATGTTACCAAATATAATTGCTACAAGTAACATGAAATACAGCTCACCAAAACACTAAACTTTGCTCTAGAGCAATGATATAGTTTGATGTCCTTTTAAAAAATAATTTAAGAAAATCTAGGTTTTATCATACTAAAATTTTATTTTATATATATATACATATATATATATACTTGTATGAGATAAATGTTTGGTTTATTAAACTTACTCACATAAGGATTTCCTTTAATATTCCAAATGCAGCTCTTGTTGAAACAATATCCCACATGAAATCCTATCTCCTTGCTTTGTTCTGGACTTAGTGCTATATAATACCTGATGACTTTTATATTGGTAAGCCAGGGTACATTCTATATACTGCTAATACCATAGGTTTAAGTATTTTTATGCAGCCTCTTCATTGTGTCACATTTTGTTTTTATATGTGTAACAGAGCTCTGCTGAGACTTTTTTAATGTTTTTTTGTTATGTTGGTTGGGTTTTTTTTTTTTTTTTTTGGATAACTAATAGTATTGTTCTGCCATTTCAGAAGCCAGGGTAGAAAATGAAATAGCTAACCATCTCTCTGAAGTCTTTGTCCATGAGTGTTCCTTAATGGTCTAAAAAATGATTTGAGTCAAGCCAGTGTTTCAGTGTTGACCTATTTTATATATTTTTAAATTGCAGGTTATGGAAGCAGAAAGAAAGTTGTGCTTTATGTGTGCATAAGTATATGTGCACTGTGCCCATGATACACCACTGAAATATTTCAAAAGATATATTGCTCACTGTCTTAAGTTGGTGTTAACTTTTAAATCTATATGTGGTCAGGGTATAAATGGTTGATTTTTATTTTCCAAAAATGAAATAACTTAAAGGATCATGGGATAATGATATTTTTTTTAACCTCATCTTAGTTCTTTAGAGGAAGAAGTGAACATAAGATTTTTTTATAAACTGCATAAAGCTTCAAAAATTGGATCAGTAAGAGCAAAAGATGAAATCCTGGGAAATCTTCACAGGCCCTGTGCAGTGGAGGGAGGGGCTAGACCTCCAGCGTGAGGGTCAGAAGAGCTGCTTCTGGGTCATGGGGCTGGCTGAGGCGGAAGGGACGGATGGCCCTTCATTCCCAGGGTGCTGAAGCAGCTGGAGGCAGAGACTCACTTCTTTAATGTCTAATCAGGGATAGAAGTAGGAGTGAGAAAGGTTTAATTTTCATTTTTGTTTTAACAAGTTCTCACTCTGTTTTAATTCTTAAAAATGAACTGGCCTAAGCTACAGAATAGGCTGTTTTAGAATCATTGAAACTTGGAGCTTTCTGTATGTTCAAGTCAGAAACATATCTGAAAACTAGAAAAATAATGGGGGTCAGGGGTTGCTCCCAGCTCCCTTGTGCCATTTCCAAATATTTGGAAACATGCCTGTAAATAATGTCATGGAACTGAGATATTGTTTAACTGATCATGTAAGGGACTCTTGGGTAAGACAGGCTGTTAGACAATTTTCCTGGTTCATGAAGTAGTTTTCTCCGAGTGGTTTCTTGCATGGTGTGTTCCAGTCTGGGTCAAACCCACACCTGCAGTTTGGAAACAGATATGCTGTCTATACGCTATGTAATCTCTGGACTGCCCAGGACTTGTTGCTTGTTTTTCATTTCACTTTCAAACACAGAACCCTTCCTTTAGCATTCACCTTAAAAAGTCAAGATGCTGCCTGCCACATGCGATGTCCTGACAAGATAAGAAGACAAGTTACCATAAAGTCCTCGTAGCTTGGGAAGCTTACATTTGATGTACTTCATGAGATGCAATGACATTGGGAAACTGCTTTATTGCTGGGCGGTGCAGACTAAACTTGAATTACACTTTACAAGGCTGATGCATCTAGCCACCCCCAATTGTCCAAGTTGCTGCAGACATGTAATGACCAAATGGAACAATTTCCTTTGGCTAGGGCCACCTAGAATTGGTCTGTGGTTGGTTGTAAACAAACAAAAGTAGAACTTGCTCCCAATTTCAGATGGGCTAGGGAATAGATATAGACGGCTTTGCAATGAATTAACAAATATTTAAAAGTTGGACGTTTGTATATACTGAGCTCTGGCCAACTTTTACCTGGGGCGGGATACTGGGAGAAAAAGGGGTTATATAGGGTGAGGGTGGGGATGATAATGTTTACCACAGGTACGAAGTAGTCACTTTAACACTGAGACCTCTGCCTCATTGAATTCAGGTTTTTTAAGTACTTGAAACTCTTCAGATTCTAGTTATTTTACCGTTTCTTTTTAAATTTATGAAGTAGAAAGCATTGTTTTTTTGGTATACTGTTTTGAAAGTAAATAGCCTAGTCTCTTATCCTCTTTAACTTGGATTAACAGCAAAGTTCTGCCAGTGGAAGAGAGTGTGCACAGTAGATGTCTCAGATTCACTGTGTACATTTGAGGAAGAGACTCTTGCATGAGATACCAGCAGCGTTTTCAGGAATACTTCCTGTGTACTTTGTCACTTTGTCGACCCTCTCTCTAAGTACTTCTTTCCTTTTAATACATGCCTGTGTGGGGAAAAAGCAAAACAAACAAGAAAAAACTGCACTTATATTACACTCCTAAAATGCTGTGTGTGACCCGTGTGTTCCCAAAATTTTTTTTTTTTTTTTGTCTGTTGCATAAGTGAAAAGTTTGGGTGCTTTGTGGCACAATGTGTACGAGCAGGAGGAGGAAGAGAAATACCTGTCCTACGACAGTCTTGAAAAGTCATTAGCGTGGAGGTAAAAAGGGAAGGTAGGATAGTTGCCAAAGTCATGCATTCAGCCCCGTTTCCTTACGTGACTGCACCTGCTGGTTGGCAGGAACGCACCCTGGGTTTGCACCGACCCCTTCCATGCCTGCCCCAGACCGTTGATGTTTGCGGATTCCTCCTAAACGCCCCTCAGGTTACCTATACGGTACTTATAAGGTGTTCCTGTCAGCTTAGAAGTGGACTGGATAAAACTTACTTTTACTTTTTTGTCATTAATATTTTATCTCATTTGTCCTGTCACATCGCCTGTGTTAAGAAAATCATATTGCCACTAGTAACCAAGATGCTAAATGATGATTACAACTGGCTGAGATTGTGTTTTCATGTACAAGGTGTGTGCATACGTGGAATTGATGAGAAATTCATTTCTACCCTTTTGAGTGATATTGCACAGCTAACGGATACCTACACGTTCCGTTCTCATTTCCGCGTGCTCTTTAGGATAATGACCTTTGTAGATTGGTTATTTCTGTACTTTGTTTATAAACTTTGTAGATCCTGTGAAATGTTATTTTGCCTAAACCATCTGAGACTTGAGTCTTTAATAACAAATTATCAACATTCACTGGAGTCAGTCTCTTTTGAGTTTCTGTGACTTGGCTAGAAGCTCTTGACACTGAGGGATTAGTGTTAATTTTCCCTGGGGTTGTTCCACTAGGGCATTACTATGTGACTTGACATTGCCACATTAAAGATACATAATATTTTGAGGATTTGGTTGATTGGCCTATGTACTATCGCACAGTGTGAAACGTGTAAAGCTTGGTTAACCTGTATATAGGTAGCTCCCTGTTGACTAGATGTGGTGTACTTAGGATGCCTGAACTATTTAAGCGTCTTACTGATGTCTGTGCTGGTAGGAATATATAATTTTTGTACGTTATATTTACTGAGATGTTGCCTTTTTTATTTCACAAATACTTTGGAATTCAAATGTGTTTTTTGCTTCCATGAGGATTAATTTGGAAAGGTTTTTAATGACATTCCACTGATTTCCGATTTTGCTTGAGATTGACTTCAATAAACTGTCCTGTATGTTCCAAATTAACCTGTGGGCCTGTTCTGTGGATTCCTGCTGCGGCCCCCTGGGCTGGAGCCGCCGTGAGCGGGGGTCGGTGAGCACGTGTCCAGCTCGGCCCGTTCATCCTCCTTCGAAATGCGGCCGCGCCCCTCAGAAACCTGGACCTGAGAATAACGCCTGGTTGTCGTGCTCAGGGGACAGGCCCCTGGAGCATGTGGCCCCTCGCTCTGGTGTCGTGCGGCCGTGTCTGGGCATGAAGGCGGGGCCCGCACGTTCCTCCCGTTGGCACCCCACGTGACCTGCCGGGCGGCCGAACGCCTAGAGGACGCGCTGCTCGCTCCTCCGTCTTGCTGGGCGGTGCCCTCGGAGTAGCGTCCGCTGCCGCCCCGCCCAGCCCCGTGCACTTCCTCACCCCTCTCATCCCTGTGCAC